TTTTTCTCTATATTTGTGATTTGTGAAGGTTTTTACTCTGATTTTTTAATCTCTATATTATACAAAAAATCATTTTAAACAAAAGAATTTGTAGTTTATAATATTTAAGGTCTACAACATTGGAATGCAAAGATTTAGGGATTAGAAAATCAGAGTTTGTGGCAAAAACTCAATTTCTTTATTATCATGGAACCCTTGACACCAATTTTTAACTTTTAAACTTGGTTGTTTCAGGATTCTTATGATTCGCAACCTCTCCCCGTAATGGCGTACAAATGTTTACCTTTTATGGATTCAACATTTATAGTATCTAGAATCAAACCAAAAATCGATTTATACTGCCTGGGAATCAATTAAACCCCCTTGGAAGGATTACTAGGAATGGAACCTGACAAACAAATTATTTAGAAATGCAAACTTCAATATATAAAATATACAAAGGTTCATTTACAATTCCTAGAATATGATTACTATACAATCAGAGGGTGTCAATTCTCGTATTTCGCATGCTCAGCGAAATTAGATTAAGAAAGATTATAATTTCAAGTATTTTTGCAGGGTTAATTTTGTCTTCTCTAAGAGGGGAGGGAGAAAGGGTAATGGCCACTTATTTTTTTGCCATTTCATTATTACGATAAAAACCATAGTTTCATATATCTTGCTGCTACCCATTTGCCTTTTGGAGGGGGGGGGGGGCTTGATTGATTTAACAAAGAGAAGAAATACAACGGTATATGGAGAAGTATAACACCGCTATCCGATTAAATCGTAGATGATAAAAAAGCAACAGAGGGAGATAAGATGAAAAATAGTTTCTTTCATTTGAACCTCTCCAGGTTCACAGGCTAATCACGAACCAAAACAAAATGAAATAATTGTTAAATATTTTACAAATATAAAATAAATGTTTTATGGTGAGACGAGCCTAGGATGAGAAACAAAGGATCTTTAATCACTGATCCAAACTTGTGGAGTAGTCACTGCTGACGAAATTCATGATAGGGCAAAATCATTTAATTAAAGTACTTTACACAGTTCTACAACACCAAACTTCAGACAGAGTATCGTAATGAAACTCAGGATCGAAAACCCGGTTTCGGAAACCCAGTATCGGAAACCCGGTTTCGGGACTGGGGTTATGAATTTTAGTTCACACCAATATTTTGGTTCAGAAATATTATTTCATTTGGTTTCTTTACATATTCTCATTTTGCTTTCCGATTTCTTATTATAAAATCTATACAAATGTAAATGACCCAAAAAGTAAACCAGGGAGTTTCGATCCACGGTACATTCTTAAATTTCCGGCTCTGAACTCAATTTTACATGTCTACACTTTACTTTACAGCTTCTATACTGTACTTTACAGCTTCTATACTGTACTTTACAGCTTCTATATTGTACTTTACAGCTTCTATACTGTCCTTTACAGCTTCTATACTGTCCTTTACTGTACTTTACAGCTTCTATACTGTACTTTACAGCTTCTATACTGTACTTTACAGCTTCTATACTGTCCTTTACAACTACTACTTTATTAAACATCTACTAAACTTAATCTTACATTTCTATACTTTACTTTACAGCTTCTATACTGTACACAAGACTATACTCTAAATCTACTAAACTCAATTTAACAACTCTAAATTTACTTTACAACTACAGATTTATTTGACCATTTTACCACTATGCCAATAAATTTAAAACTACTTTACTGTATACTTTATAGGTACTGAGTGTTACAAACTCAAACTTTATAATTCCTATTTTTGTTAGATGGTATAAATCTTTGATTTTTCAAATTTGATCGGACAGAATTTTCAGTTTAAAATATTATAGGTCTCCAACAATTTAATGGGTTGCAAAGATATAGGAATTGAAAATCAGCGTGAGTAGAAAAAAATTTATCTTTTAAAAGTGCACTAGCTTCAGAACCAGTGTTGCCCTGGGTACTCATAGTTATTTCCGCCGTTCACCCGCACTTGGTCATAAATCATGATTTTAGCTATTTTTCCCTGTAAAGTCAACCCACTATATTGAGAATCTTAAACCAAGCTAAGAACATATCCTTGGTTGAGGCAAATCGGTTCAGGGGTTCAAAAGTTATGTTCGGACATACAAACAAAACAAACAAACAGAGATTACTAATTTATATGATAACCTTTTATCTAGTTCTTAACAATAAAACTACTCTAGTATGCTTTAATTTACAACTATATTTAGACATGATAAATTCTATCGGCTGTAGAACCATTGAAGGGACAGACCAGCTATGTAAGGTAGTTAAACTGAGTATGCAGTGTTGTGGACAAATTCTTTAGAATTTATTAGAGACATATTAAACTCCGCGATGTTTAATTACTGAGTTTGAGTGCATAGTCGACGTTCAAAATCATGAAGTTGGGTGGGTACGTTTTTAAATTATTAAATAACGACGACGAAAAATAAAGTAAACATTTTACAGTTAAGTAATTCAATGGTTAGGAACATATTTCTTAAAAGAAATTCTTCAATAAATCAATGCTAGAATCAATTTGTTTTCATCATTATATTGAATTTCTTATTTTCTATGAATTTATTCGCAGATTTCTACAAATTCTGCAAATGTTGTCTTTTCAATAATAATTCCAGAAAATCTTTGTTAATAATCAGAAACTAGAATAATGAGAAAATAGAAACTAATAATTGAACAAGGTTACTTATTTTTTATGATAAGATTAATTTTTAATTTCTCAACCTGTTCCTAAACAACTAATTAGTTTACTGAAGAATTTTGTTTACTTTTTTTTGTCGTCGTTATTTAATAATTAAAAAAAAAATTCTAGAACGTATCCACCCAAAAGTACGATTTTGAACGTCGACTTTGCGCTCAAATTCAGGAATTACAGATCTTTAAAAAGTTTTATATGTCTCAAATGGATCCTTAAGAATTTGTCCACAACACTGCATACTCAGTTCAACTACCTTACATAGCCAGACCTTTAAACTAATTCTATTGAAGCTGACTAAATGAGATATTACGAGCTAAAAATTTACAAGCTGCAAAAATTTCGCAAGTCAATTGGGATATCCGGCGAATTATATAATATGAAACGAGACATTTATTTACAGTTACACATAATATAACTGCAGAAAGATACATGTCAGAAGTGATTAATTAATTGCAAAAAAGATTAAGTACAGGGTTACCCACAAAGGATGAGACTTAAACAACGGATGTGGAGAGTAAATACAGACTTTTGCTTACAGTTTTCCTTTTTTTGCAAAATAATTTCATAGATCATATAAAGTCTATATGTAAGGTTAACTACCACATTTAACCTTAGGATCGGAATATTTAATGAGTTTTAGTCGTCATAAAAGACTCATCTTTTTTGAGCAACCCTGTATTTGATCAAGAATCCTCCCCCAGATATAAAAAAAAACAATTAAAGCTCTATTCGTGTTCGCCTTTTAGACATAAAAAAGTATATTATTAGAAACCTTTGTCAAAATTTATTATGTCTCCTAGTCGACGATTTGAAAAAAAAGATTTATCTCTAAAAATTGGCAAAAGTGCAATGTTTGAATAAAAAATGAGTTCTTTATCTCTATGAAGACTAGGCCTGTTAAGTTGACCAAGGTTAAACAAACCTGCAGTTGGAGACAAGTGTTGGAAAATAATTTCTTTTCATTAAACATCAAACGTTTATAATTTATATAGTGGACGTTTACAAAATAAATTTAATTTTAGAAAACAAAATTTGTAAAATCCAATACGGCATTAGGTTGCATAGATATAAGGATGAGAAAATTTTAGTTTGCGGCAATAATAAGTTCCTTTATTGAAAACTTTCAAATCATCTTCTATTTAAACAAAATTTATGGACATTAAACTTATTAGACTTTTCGATCCTGGGATTTTCAAAACGTTGTCTTCAAAATTTCGGCCGTTTAAATATTTTATCTTTCCATATTCTTAAGCATTTATATGGCAAAAATTAGACCACATTTTGGAAATCTTATCTTTCCTACTTTATTAACATTTTTTTCATTTTCTTTGCCAACTTCATGTTAATTTGGAAACCCTGTGGTAAACAGTAAAAATGCAATCCACCCATCCTGGCCCCGGCCTATACAACTATTCTAAAACACTGCCCGGGGGAAGATAAACCCAATCTTGGTCAAATCGTTTCATTTATCATCATTCTTACTTTCTTCGGCTTCAGGTTTAAATTAATCAAACTCAGCCTATAGCATAAACTCTTTATAAATTTAAAAAATGGGTATACCGTAAAGTGTATATCTATCTATCTATTTATTTATTTGTTTGTTCTCAATAAACTTCGAAACGGCTGAACCAATCGGTTTATACATTTTGCAGAACCTCTTTTTTTCCGTGCAATTTTATGGATTTCTCTTTCAAGAAATTATTTTTGTAAATTCAAAATATTACTCCAAGAAACTTTCATTCTTTAGAAATTTTGTATTTGTACAATTTAAATTTATGTAATCTACTTAATAATATATTATTTTATAAACTACAAACTGTATCTATTACAGAATACTTTGCGCTGTTGTACACTGTATACTACAATACACTAAATATTACACTATAAATTGCCAGCTGTGCACGTTACAATAAACATAATTCGTGTTCGTACAATACGTTATACTGGACGTGTATTGTACATGATACTTAAATTAATAATACGTAAGACAGTTATTTCAGACCAATTACTCCGTAAATCTAATTGCACAGATTTCTCCAAGGTTTCAATCTGAATCTGTCATCTTAAGAAATACAAAAATAACAAAACAGAAAACCAATAAAGTTTTACGTCACTTGGTACAGTTAAATTTCCTTTTAATATGCACAATGTATTGTACTTAATATATTGTACGTTGTACAGTGTTCAGAGAGTTCAGATTTTATGAGATACATTTCTGAGATTTCTAATTTTTGGAGAATAAACTTATTCTTTAAAACTAACATATAGATTAGATAAGAAGCACTTTACCCTTAGATTGGGTTTTCAGTTTCACTTGAAGGTTTAGAAACACCGTTACCCTGCTCAGGGTAGGAGATAGAGCTGGGTGGAAACCAACCTGGGAGTAACTGAGTCGGTTCCGGACTCACGGACAGTTGAATCAACACTAACTACTAACTAGTGGAGAATTCAGTCCTTCTCATCTCATCCTACTCCATTCGATCCATAGATATATACAACCTGGATACAGGAATACAACCTGTGTACAAGATACAACCTGTATGCAATGATACAACCTGTATACAAGGATACAATCTGTATACAAGGATACAATCTGTATACAAGGATACAATCTGTATACAAGGATACAATCTGTATACAAGGATACAACCTGGATACTGGAACACAACTTGTGTACAGAAATACATTCTGTATACATTCTGAAATACAATCTGTATATAGGAATACGAATTGTACACCTGGATGCAGGAATACAATCTGTATAAAGGAATACAATCTGTGTACGGAATACAACCTGGATACAGGAATACAACCTGGAATACAGGAATATAATCTGTATACAGGAATACAATCTGTATGCAGGAATAAAATCTGTATACCGGAATACAATCTGTAAACCGGAATACAATCTATAATCTGTATACAGAAATACAATCTGGATACAGGAATACAATCTGGATACAGGAATACAATCTGTATACAGGAATACAATCTGTATACAGGAATACAATCTGTATGCAGGAATAAAATCTATAATCTGTATACAGAAATACAATCTGGATACAGGAATACAATCTGGATACAAGAATACAATCTGTATACAGGAATACGATCTTTATACAGGAATACAATCTGTATACAGAAATACAATCTGTATTCAAAGATACAATCTGTATACAGGAATACAATCTGGATACAGGAATACAATCTGAATTCAGGAATACAATCTGTATACAGGAATATAATCTGTATACAGGAATACAATCTGTATACAGGAATACAATCTGTATACAGGAATACGATCTGTATACAGGAATACAATCTGTATACAGGAATTTAATAGTCCAAAAATTATTTATTTAGTTTTTGTTAATAATTCCCTTCTAGACGTTCTTGAAACTTTTATGTTTTCTAATCCTAGCTATTTAACATATTCCTAAAATATTAATGATTTACCCCCCTTAATGTCTGATTTTATTCAAATTTAAAAACTTCTTTCTTCTACGTTTTATACTGTTTAAATGCATGCTAGGATTGGAAATGCTTTATGAAGCTATATCCCCCTACCTCCCCCCCCCCCCGCCGAAATTGTTGGGGATGTTTGGGATTTCCCACCCCATGGAAAGTTTAAATTTTATATTTCTTCAATTAAGCTTGGAGGGGAATAAATATCCCCCCTTCCCCCTCCTCCACCCCGCGCAAAGAAAACTAAAACAATCTGAATGGAGTAAAACCAGGGGGCGGAAACGTCATGTATGTGTGTCTGAACCAAAAGAGTATGTGTAAGTAATACCGAACCGAAGGTGTGTACTGAAGTATATACAGTACATAAGAATCTCGGTATTTGTACAGTCTAGGAGAGTACATTTGTTTATTGTTAGTTGGTTACTTGAAAATAAGTTTAATATACATGTAATATATTATTTATACATTTAAGTCAACACTATAAGCCAAATTTTCATGAAAAGAATATGATTTGATTAAAGTTTACAATAAACTACTCGTTATTCAAACTTAATCATAATTGACGACATTGTTCTGCAACTTCCTTGACTGCAGTCATGTTGTGTGTCCGTACCAAAAGAGTGTGCGTGTGTAATAACGAACTCGTCTGCAGTGCGACCGGCTTGCTTATGCCAGACCAGCGCCATTTCCCTTCCCTTTATTCTTATTCCCTGGTCAAAACTGAAATCTAAATCAGGTTCAGCAAAGCAACGTACAGCTAATTGGGGTGTTAATGAATTGGAATTTTTGTCTTTAAAGAAAAATCTTTTAATAATTAAATAAAGTTTATTTAATTATCGAATTTGGTTATCTAATTATTTTTGTGACATCAAAAACCTAATTTTAAGGTAAAAAAATGCAAGAATTAGTTAAAAGACTACCAGGATATAGGAACACACAAGGAGTTTTACTCCAATCTAAATTCTGTGAGAGTTTGAAAATATATGACAACATTTATATTCATACTGGCTTTGAAACCAAACTTTGCCTGAAAACTACAAGAATAGAGTTATTGCCACAAACTCTGATTTGCTAAGCCGTATGTCTATGCACCCCAAAGTCGTAAACCTTATATATTTCAAACTATGAATTCTGTTAAATTCTAGTTCAAATAATCTAAGTTTGAAATATAAAAGGTTTACACCATGAGAAATAGGGATTAGAAAATTTAAGTTTGAGGCAAGAACACAATTACTTTTATCCATAAAATTCAACCTTCTAAACTTAGAACCTGCAAACCAACTAAGAACATTCCCACAATTTTCCGAGTTCCTTAATTAAAATTTGAGGCATATCGGTCAAGGGGTTCATGATTTATGATCAGACAAACAAATAAACAAACACACGTATAAAAGACAGAGATTACTACTTTATATATATATTCTAGCTTGGGAACCCGCGCCAAGATTACTAAAAGTTACTTCCGCCGTTTACCCGCATTTGAACGATTTTACTGGGAAACTAAATGTTCGCTATTAAAATCGACCCACTAAACTTAGAATCTTAAATCAAAGCTATGAACATTCCTGTGGACCTCCCGAGTTCTCCAATCAAAATTTGAGGCAAATTGGTCCAGGAGTTCCTGAGTTATGATCGGACAAACAAAGAAACAGACAGACAAACAGAGATTTTATCTTTATATCTTCATCTTTCATATTTTTATTCGACTACAAAGCACGAGATAATACAAATAAAAAATCACAATTTACTATGTAGTTTGGACCCGCCTAACCAGAGTTGGTTGTTTTGATTTGTTGGGCCATTATAGATATCATGATATAGATGTACAGATTATGTATGTAAAAGAATCTTTCAGAAAATGGTTTCCGAAGTCTCATTTATTGTTAAATTATGAAAATGTACCGAGCAGTGTGCTTGGAAATAAAATATTCAGGGACGTATACTGTAGTTTATGCAGGGGGTGGTGGCATTTACTGAACACAAAAATCTCAAGCAATTCTTTCATTTTTAAATCAATATCATCCGTCCTAAAATATATTGATTATGTCACGTAAAGCTTTTTCTGTTTTGTCCGTCATCTGTGCAGATATATATATATAAAGTGCAGATAATACATATATATATTATATTATATGTATGTGCACATAATTTCATATTTCATCCTTTTCATATTTTCGTTAAATCTACAGGTTTTACGCACCTTTTTTAATTTTAAAACAAAAATGACATTTTCAGATAAAAATAAATTGAAAAAAGTCAGGTATTAGAAAACACTTTTTAAAATTATGTTTTAAGAAGCTTTTATCCATTATGTTACGAATCTTACCTTAACTTCAATTTCCTTGCTGCAACCTAATCAAAGAATTATAAATGATAAACTATTCTGAACCGTAAGCTTTTAAATAAGTAACTCGGCTTAACTCAGACTTTTGAATTCAGAAGTTTAACTACTCAGATATGTAAATATTAAGATATTTTAGTTGAAAAGTTAAATAAATTCTCAAGAGTGGGTTGACTTTGAAGTGTCGTAAAGCCTTGGTCTTTCATTTCACTAACTTAATTATACTTTTCTATAGCCCTTGACACGTATACTTCAGATCTATAAAGCACTTGTTTATAATTCTATTATTTAATAAGTTCTACGAAAGGAATTTATTTTTTGCCACAAACTCTGATTTCCAAATCGAAATACCTGTTCAATTTGATGTTGATATTTTCTCTGATGTTTCAAACTTTAAATTCTGTTAGCTCTTATAGCTTGAAATGTCAAAGGTTTGACCAATATTCAATGAGATACAGCATAAAGAACGAAGTAAACTACCAACGTAGGATTTTATCTATATTTAAAAGTTCCCGTCTCTGATTACTGTAAACCAAAATATGCATGGATATGGGAAAATGTACGTAAAGTTTGTATCAATAGGTAATTAAACATACATACACACACATACTACACTTCCTATTTAACATGGTTCACACAGTTCCTTCCGGTTTGACATGCTAAACTGTAAGCATATAAACTACAGAGCGTCCCTTATCATATTAGCAAACTTTAACGCCAGAATACGCACATAATGCTCGAAAAAAAACTAGTATTAATTAATATTTTTTTTTCAATTGTTAATCTTCTTTTATTATTTTTATTTTCTTTTTATTAGATGAAATATTTAATATTCTACATCTGTTTGTAAATATTAACCTATTTCAAATCTTTATTGTTATACAAATCTGTGAAAATACATGTTTTACAGATTTTAGCTTATTACTTTTATATCTATATATATATATATATATATATATATATAATAAACTGTCTGTTTGTTTGTTTGTTTTTATTCAATAAACGTCAAAACGGCTAAATTGATTTTTTGTGGGACCTCGCTTGACCCAAAGGGAAGGTTTATGGATAACCGAATTTTCAAAAATTTACCTCTATCAAAATTCGATTTTTGAAAATTTTGAAAATCCACGACATTTTTTATAGAATCTGCGAAGTTTGTTTTAGAAAAAGTTTTACAATGTATAAAAAGAGAAGATAAAAGCCTATATTTTTCATTACGATTGAAAATATTTAGACATTTAGTTTTACTCAGAGCTTTTAGAGGTGAACATTGTTTATAGTAGTGACCCTCTATGCATAGATGGTAATACCCGATTCACAACCAAACCCTCAAAAGCGTTGTCTGATCAAGTATGAATTAGATATCAACGTTTATAATTTTGGAAGCTTGCGGAATTCTATTGCTCGAAAACATATAGAAATTATCACAATTAAGACTGTTAAACCTAAAAGAAACGACAATATCTTCCACATTATTGATCAGATAAAGGTTTCTATGGAATCTTTGTGAATCGGGCATTGCCATGCTTTGCATGGAGGGTCACTTGAAATTACGCTTTCGACTTTTAAATGACTATCCTAAAATTTTGATATAAAAACAATATACATTTAGGAAAGATCTCAGATTGCAGAATCTTCTGGAGCCTCTAAAACGTAGAAAAACCTTGAACTTTCAAAGTTACTGTTAAAATTAAAATATAAGATCCGGAAAAATAATGTTAAATTTGATAAGTAAATTTTAATTTATAAGCTGAAGGGCACGGGCAGTCGTAGTACATTTGAATTTTCGAGCCGGTTCGAACTTTCCGGTCCCAGTGTGAACTGTATCGCCCGGACATTGGGTAAATAAAGCCGGTGCAACAAGGTTGACGCGGTCAGACTTTAGGTTGAATTTACTTTTACTAAAGGGTCAGGATTGCGTGAGGGTTTGTTCTGAGATTTTGGATGGTTCAATCTGCGGAACAATTCAGATAAGATTTCAAGGGTGTACCAGGGGAGGAAGACTTAAGCCGTAAAAATTCCGGAAGAAATTTTTAGTTGAAGCATTTTTTTAAATGTCTTAAAATGAAAACTCGGGCCATTGCCTATCCATACTCAGATCGAGCGCCTAAGGCCTAAGAATTAACATTTTAAAAACTGAATATGTGTATTTATTCATTTTAGACGAGATCCTTTTAAACATATAATATATAATTAAAATTTTTTTTTAACGCAACATCACTTAGCAACTGCAGTCTATAATGCGTATTGAATGCGTACAAAGTTCGGTGCTTGCGTCGCAGTAAGCGTATATATGATTTATTAAATAACAATGTATTTAATATTTTTTCAAGAAACAGTTCCGACAGGACAAAATATAAAAACATATATGCTTTTCGCCGTAAACAATAAACAGAAAAACAAATGCTTCCGCAAAAATAACCCGGTAGTTTTCATTGAAATTGTCAACATTTTTATCATACATCATAAAATATATTTTTGGTGTTCTTCACTTTTTATTTACGGATTTCTTTAGTATGTTATAGTAACATTTTAAAATTTGGACAGGACAGCAATCTTATTTATATTAGAACTTAATTGGAAAAAGGAAAATATAAAAGTATCAAAATTAAAAAAAACGAGTATTTAATTATCGTTGATGAAATAAAAACATTTACGCAATTTTACGCTTTATTACACGCTCTGTTTTTATTTGCAGCGACATAGTTAATATTTTTAAAATGATTTAAGTAGATTCAAGATAAAAAGTTATATAGCTGAAAAAATGGACGGTCAGTCTTACAATCTGCAATTATTTTACGATCTATCTTGAACTCCTTGGACGCTAACTGTACATTTATACAGGTGAATAGAGCGTGTAGCTGTAAATTGATGTAGTAATAAATAATTAGATCACCAGATGTCACTCTTGGAGTAATCCAGGAAGCTGGTTTGTTTCATTATGTAATATTATAGAGTTCAATTCACTCGGTTACTCAACAATAACTTGCAAGATATTTTGAAGAACAGTAGGTAGGGGGGGTGGGGCGCTTATAACATAAATGAAGGGGAGGGGGGGGGGTTGTCACTTCAAATCCCCCCTCTCAAAAATTAAAGTAAAGTAAAGCAGGCACACCAATTTTACACAGTAACTTAAACAAACTTGAGCTGTATAAAAGAGAGAGTGTAATTTGTAATTTTAAGTAACCCTCAATGCAAAAATGGCAATACCCGAATCACATCGATCAAACGGAGAAAATTGTTGTTTTTAGATGTTTAAAATTGTTTAAATCTGATAATTCCCACATGCTTTCCTGTAGTAGAAATGAGCAAGTCACTTTTGTAGAGAACCCACAGTTGAAAATAGCAGTTTTAAGAATTATAAACATTCTAATCTAATTATACTTGATTAAACAATGCTTTTAAAGGGAGTGTTGTGAATCGGGCATTGCCGTTTTTGCATATGAAGGGTCACTTTAATTAACGCATACAGTCCCTTTAAATTTGTTTATTTTCTACCTGAGTTGTGTTAAAGATTGCTAATAATGTTAGGTTTCGTAATTTAAAGGAACTATAGTTTTTCACGGGCAGCCATAGTACATTTGAATTTCCCAGCCGGGTCAACCTTTCCGGTCCCAGTTTGTAGTGCATCGCCCGGACATTTGGTAAATGAAGCAGACAATCAATAGGACTAGCCGGTGCAACAAGATTGACGCGGTCAGACATTAGATTAAATTTACTTTTACTAAAGGTTCAAAGGTGCGTGTTTTGCCACAAACTCAAATTTTGTAATCCTTACATGTTCTATTAAAGTCTAGGTTTATCATATCATAGGTTTACACCATTAGGAATTGCAAAGATATCTGGATTGGAAAATTTGAGTTGGTTGCAAAAACTATAAGAATATAAGAATTTGAGCCACGGCTGAAATATGGTTGGTTTTTACTTAAAATTGTATTAAACTTTTTAAGATTTAAGCCGGCGCTCAATTGAAACCGGTTTTTGGGAGATTTGAGACGCGGCTTAAATTCATTAAATTCTGACTCTGATTCAACAAATTTTCTCTTGCATTATTTCCATTCTCCATCTCTTGCCCTCTTTCTTATCCATGTTTCAGCCCCTCTCTCTCTCCTATACAGCCCTACCCTTGACTTATATCTTACTATTCTAAATATTAATGAATACAATACATTAGCACCACCACCTGTACAATGAATAAATTGTATATTCAGGAACCCGGAAATTGATGTTCATACGACTCCATTTTGATTATTTATTTTGTCTAAATATGTAAAAATGGAATTAATGTTGAAAAATATTGAAAAATGTTCAGGTTTTTTATTTACTAATTGTTTTACCCCTTATAGGACACCAAAACACCCGGCCCCTGAAAATTAAACCTACTTTGTAACTATTTCAGGGATTTAAGGACTTGCTTGCTGAACAAGGCAAAGGAAGAAGGGACTGATTACTCTATAATCTAATTGTCCGACCTGCAACCTGAGCTGGAAACTTTGATGATTGTGGATATATCGAATTCAATTCTTGATCTCCATCTTCTGTTAATCTGCAGATTAATTTAATCTTTTGTACCCTGAAGGGATAATGCAAATAAACAGATTAAGTATTGAATTATGTATTGATCCTTAAATGCAAAGTGTCCACTGTGGATATTGAGATCAAACGATCTGGAGACTATTAGTATCCAACAATAAAACTTCCCAACTCTGATGTCCTCAACCTTTGATATTTCAAGTTATCAATTCTGTGAAATGAAATACAAAATATATCGAAATATATATGTACTTAATATATTGAAATATCAAGGGTTTAATCGCATCACGATTAAATAAATAGAGATTAAAAAATTTCAATTTTTAAAGATAGAAATCAGATTTTGTGTGTAAATGTTTTACGCGGAATGAATTAACTTCTCTGGAACTGAAAGCAAATGATCGTTATAACTCACGGCAAACTAGACAGAAGAAAAGGATCAAATTATGCGTCATTACTGGTACAACTTTGTGAACTCGAGCTCCTTCAGTTTAGATTTTACGCACAAGTATGGGAAGCTAATTTATCCAGTTATACATATTAGAACATGAAAACATTTTTTCTTCTCGATAGCACAATTTGTTAAGAGAAGAAAGTACCAAAAAGTTTAAGATTTCAATATTATACGTGCAATTTACATAAGCTTAACGTGAGCTCCAGAAAAATGTTGCTCAAAATAGAAAAAACGTCAGAAATCTTATGTTAATATCATTTAACTTTCAACAAATTTATCGCCACTTTAGAATTTTAGTCAGAATGAAAATTCCTTTGATATAATGATGAAAACTTGCAAATTATGGATATCATGTGATGATGAGAGACGAAGGTTTGTCAACAAAATAAAACAAAATATTTAAGAAATAAAGTAAAATTTTCAATAAAACGTGAAAAGTAAAATTTGATGAACGAGGAACAGGAAGTATGAATGAAGTCCAAAATAAACGATTGAACGTGAGCAATTCAAAACGTCTATTAAAAGATACGGGGCAAACCTGACTCACACGCGCAGAAAAGAAAGAGCGCGGGAAAATGTTAAGATGGCGGATATGAAATTAATAATTTTTGTCACATACAGTTTTTAACATAAATCACATTTCAAATCCATTCACAATCCTCTCATTTGGCAATAGCTACTTATATATGTAGCAAATATAGAAACCACATAGTAAATTACATTGTACATTGTCCTTATAGCTAAATGTGCCCATTAGTAAATACTTAAATCATGTATTGCGATTAACCCAATCAATATATGTAGATATATATATATAACTCCATCATACCCATATTGTGATAGCTTAAATATGTTATATATAACGGCGCATAACTTGTAATTATGCTGTTAAGACGAAATTCTTAACTTATCTGAAGAAATATACTTATGTTGTAATAGAGACTCCGCTTTGATTGCTGCGAGAGAGTTATCACGTCCTTCTTCTAAACGAATGAGTTGAAGATTGTGTCCTAGTTGAGACATTGATAGTTTACAAGATTGTGTTCTAGTTGAGGCATTGCTAGTTTACGAGAACGTGTCCTAGTTTAGGCATTGATAGCTCAAGATTGTATCCTAGTTGAGGCATTAATAGTTTGTGAGATCATGTCCTAGTTGAGTCATTGATATTTCAAGATTGTGTCCTATTTGAGACACTGATAGTTTACGAGATCGTGTCCTAGTTGAGGCATTGATATCTCAAGATTGTGTCCTATTTGAGACACTGATAGTTTACGAGATCGTGTCCTGGTTGAGGCATTGATAGCTCAAGATCGTGTCCTAGTTGAGGCATTGATAGCTCAAGATCGTGTCCTAGTTGAGTTCCGTGCTAGTGTCCGGGTTTAGACATTGATAGCTGAGTGTAACTGAGTTGTACCTGGATAGATTCGTGTTCGAGAAACCGTTATTGAGTAGGGCACTCACTACATAAACACTTCTGTTCAAGGAAGGAAATGAATCTTTCCCACAAACTCTGATCTTCTAATCCCTATATCTTTGTAACACAATGTCGCATACCTTAGATATTTCTCATTTTATGAACTCTGTGAGATCAAGTAACCACAGTTTGAAATATAAATGTTTTGCACCAATCAGGTTGCAAAGAAATGCGCGGGTTAGAAAATGTTAGTTTGTGGCAAATACTCCATTCCTTTGTTGTAGCTATCTTTTAAAACGGCTGGAAAACAGGTTTTTTGGGGTCACCCTGTAATATTTTCAGATTCAACGGATCAGAAGACGACAATAATTTTTATTATTTTAAAATTGAGATACAAATCTAATGAGTTAACCTGATAAAACCGAAAATTTCCATTTAAATAAACAAAGAGATAAATGATTATTTTAAGCATTGAACCCACTCCTAAATTTAACACGTCTAAATAAAGATTTTTTGCGGAAATTACCTTTAACTTAAATTAATGTTTTTTTTACATAATCTAAGATTGCTGTTACCATGTTTAATTAACAAAGTATAATTTATGTTTTGAATTAATCATCTTGAACATTCACTTAAATATAGATTGTATGAGCCCAAGGAGTAAGGAATAGAAAGAAGATACAACTGACGCGACCCGCCCTACCATATGATTATACATGCTTTGCAGACGGTACTTCATTTGAATAAGAAATATTTGTCTGATGTACATTTACCGCGAATACAATAAACTATTCTGAATATTTCTTATACGTAAATGAAGTACCGTCTGCAAAACATGTATAATCATATGGTAGGACGGGCCGCGTCAGTTGTATCTCCCTTTTATTTCATACTCCTTAATCAGGTCTGTATCGGAATTTGTTCAGTCATGTTTTGATATCTCCTTCAAACTCCGTAAAACCCCGAAAGATGTTATTATACTTATCTTAATAGGCAGTCCAACAAAAAGTATGTAATAGGAAATATGAAAAATATACATTTAATGGGTCAAAACTGGTTCTAAAATTTAGGCTCGCTGGACTCTATTTTACCGTGGGATATTTACGGTAATTATTAAAGCAAAACTCATAAATTATACTTTCTATAAATATATGTACATATCTCCCCCCTCCCTCTCTTCCTTCATAGCATATGTTTATCATAACTCATACATGTGGTTTACTTTCATTTTATTTGGATCTACTCTTTAATTATAATTGCCTTTACAACAGGATCAAACATATGAGAGGGAAGGGGGGTGGGGGCAGTTATAATCTGACATTACCCTCTTTAAATGGAGGGTTAGGTACAATTGTAACAAATGTAATATAATTTCACTATATCTTTGTACTCTGTTATATGCTAATCTATAAAGTTGAATGATCTGACTGCCGGTCAGTCTAATTTTTACCTAAATATAGTTTACAGAGATACTCTGATTACGAATGCCACAAATAAAAAAGTACGAAAAAGTACCGCTGCAAGTATTTAGGACAAAAATTTAAGAAAAAATTCCGCACAGTGGTCTCTAAAGTTAAATACATATTTTTTTAATTGTGTTCTCTATATAATAACCAGGGGGGGATGATAGTTCTCTACCTGTGTGCTCAGTTAGCTGTACTGTACACTTACAACTGTTTACTAATATTGATATACAATAGGTTAGGCCAGAATCAACTTATAGTAAACAAATATGCAGTACGCTCTCGGTATAGCTTATGGCCTATACAATTAGAAAAGGATTAGCGTATATCATCACTCTATACACTATAACCTCGTTGATAATAACCTTCAGAGATATCCTGAAGGAATCAACCTAATCCGTTGAACTACTGATTCGGATTAGTGCTTTCTGATTGGATTAACCATGCAAAAGCTCCGATCTGTGATAAATAAGTTTTGTTCTGCTATAATTTTAGGAAACCCAATCTACAAAACCAGCAAGGGCACCCTAAATAAAGCTTCGGTGAGTACTGCAGTCATCTGCAGTACTCGGACCGAAAAAAAGTCGTTTTCAGGGGAGAGTGTGAGACAAGTAAAATATAATATTTTCAACAACATTTGTTAGCTTCCATATCATCCAAAGAAATGAGCAGTCCCTTAAGCGTTTTTTCCTCTCCTCTTAGTTACGCTGTTCACTAGAAGTCCTTGGGTTAATTAAAAAAATCGGATCTTTCGGCGAAAAACTAGGATTACAATGGGCAAAAATATTTAAAATTTTTATTTTTTATTTTTAAAATTTAGTTTTTTCGAAATAAAATTTAATTAATTACGATAATATTATTGATTAAAACCCTAGCTGTATTTTTGTGCATACAGAAGCACAAGATATGTCAGTAAAGCACACATGGTGAAGCTGCAAGAATGTTAAATTTATCAAGAATTCAGATTTTTATTTATTTATCATGTTTATCCGCATCTGTACTTGCTCAGGGGCAGCAGAGGTAAATATATTATTTTAATACCTTCATTTATATTTCACATTGTCCTATCATTGTGATCGACCGGTATAAAATATCAGAAAATTCGGTCACTTTGTTAGAATTGAGCTTTTGAGAATAATGCGATCTCCTAGCAGCTGTTACTCCGTCTCTCTTTCCATTATTGACATGGCAATCGATCTAATCAGATGTACATAATCCCCTGGGATATAAAAACAGTTGTTAGGTGTTACAGGCATTTTCCCGAGGGCGACTTCCCAAGTGACAATTTCCCAAGTGGCAACTTCCCAATCGGTAACTTCCCATAGGTTAGGTTAGGCCTTCTGAGCCGCGGCAGGCTGTAATGACTACTGAGGGACGAGTGCTGCGGCTAGGAAGCCGGGCGCTGCGGCTAGGACAGACTTGGTAAGTTGCCGATTGAGAAATTGCACATTTGGGAAGTTGAAACTTGGGAAAATAACCCTTGGGAATTTGCCACCTGGGAAAACGCCTTTGGAAAAGTCTAACATCGTTCCTAAAACTCAATTCCTAAATAACATGAAAAAAAACCCGGAAAATGTTTATTTTAGAGAAGATATGATGAAAAAGTCTGCAGCGTTTTGTATTTAAGGATACTGATCCTAAACTTTCAGTATTATATTTTTTTACATTTGCAGGGAATTTTTTTAAATTAGATATTCTGATATTTAAAAAAAGGAAAAATTGTCTACGACGAAATTACATGTAGACAGAAAAAAATAAATATTTTGCTATAATAATGTTTTTCAGTGCAGTTTTCATTGCTTTTCACTTTTATTTTGACTAAATACTTCTATAGTTTTATTTGAAAAAAAACAATAAAAATTGTGTTATATTGTATGAAATTGGTAAAGAATCTTTATAAAGTTGATTTTTGAAAGCTTGTGTATAAAAAAACATGTGAATTGTGCAAACTCCAATATGACATATAATCCCCTCAGGGCTGCATTGATGAACCTTGCGAAGACCCTCTCCGAGAACCTTCAGAGCACTATCTCCTCTACCTCTACCCAGATACAGGATTTAAACTGGAGAAATGGGAACCTCACTCTAGGTAGAACTTTAAGCACAGAGATGAAAACCAATTTATTATCAGATTTACCCACATAACATGATGAGACTTAAATGACGACCTTAAATTCATTTATTATGGTGCATGATTTTAAGAGGAAAAATATATAACGAAACTGATTGCTCGCCTCAAACGAGTGGGGGAAGGCAGGCGGCCATAAGCCACAACATTTTCCCTTCCATGCCACATTTTAGTTTTTTTGTCTTCCGGCAGTCATGAGCCACAACTGTACGGTCTTTAATGCCACAGCATTTGAATCTTCTCTTCCAGCAGTTACTACGTTTTTAAAAAATAAATTTAGTGCATTGAAATTGTGATTTTAAAAAATCCAGCGGCGTCATATATTATATTTAAGTTTTAAATTGAAATAATGACGATTCCTTTTAATGAAAACTTACTTTCCCCAAAAATAAATTCAATCTTTCTTCTAAATTGGCTTATTTTTGAAAATTTGCACTATTTAACAAGAAAATTGCAAAATTGTTTTTTTTTCGAGGAAATCTGTAACGCTTAGGTAATGACAGTTAATATTGTGATTTTTCTTATCTTTATCTTATTCTTTAGACTACCTCAAACAATTTGTCTCAGTGCCCACAATGCGTAAAATTTCTTTGTATAAACTGAACACACAATTCGTTGATCTTTAATAATCTTCTAACATTTCTTAAAGGTATGATCTTTCGCGTAACGCAACAGGATTGTTAAAAATTGCAATTTCACTACATTAAATTTATTATTTAAAAATTTATAACTGCCGGAAGATTCAAATGCTGTGGCATGGAAGAACGTACGGTTGTGGGTCATGGCTGCAGGAAGACAAAAATGATAATATGTGGCATGGAAAGGAAAATGTTGTGGCTTATGGCCGCCTGCCTTCCCCCGCTCCTCAATCTCTTATTTTCTAGAAACCATACTCTTTCATCTGAAGAATGTTAACCTTCAAGATTTCAAACGTCAATTTTTTTATCTAGAAAAAATCACAGATTTAAATCAAGTTGCCCAAATATTAGATTAAGAGTTTGAGATGAGATTTCTTTCTGCAGGCGTGGAAGGATTAGAAGTTAAGGTTTCAAACTCCTCCGTACTACTGGAGAACCTGGAGCAGAGAATATTAAGCCTGGAGAACCAGACCTCGCTACTTAAAGTTTGTTTTTTCTTCCCTTGAAATTCTAGATCGTAATAAAACCAAAATCAAGCAAAAAATGCAAATTTATGACATCATTTAAGGAATTTGGTCTTTGCCACAAACTCTGATTTTCTAATCCCTATATTTGCAACCCAATGTCGTAAACCTTAGATATTTAAAGCTGTAAATTCTGTTAGATCAAATAATCTAAGTTTGAAATATTATAGGTTTACACCATCAGGTTTTGCAAAGATAAAGAAAGTGAGTTTGGGAACTATCTTTATGATAAAGCTTTTCGCCATGCAATACATATATATTTATATTTGTATCTATGTTAGCAATAGCCGGTCAAACGGCTAAACCCAATTGGGATACACTGGGGGTAACATATAGGCTAAAGAAATCATTTTTTTTGCAAAATCTATTTTTAAAACATTTTTTTTTATTTCACGGGCAATGCCGGGCACTTCAGCTAGTAGAAAATATAAAATAACTGATTATTTAAGGAGAGAAGAGAACTGGAGGAAAATATTTGGAAGTTCAATACTTTAGGAAAAGGATAAATAGTTCTGTTGATACAATCAAAAAGTATTTCTATTTCATGATTTACAAAAACTTATCAAATGAAGAAAAAAAAAATCAAGAATTTCATTTGTAAAGGAGTTGAGTTTTTGCTACAAACTCTATTTTCTAGTCCCTTTATCTGTTCAACCCATGATATGTCGCAGATCATTGATATTTCAAACTATTAATTCTATTCGATCAAATAATCTAAGTTTGAAATATAAAGGTTTTACTCCATCAGGTTGCAAAGATATAAGAATGGGAACATTTGAGTTTGTGTCAAAAACTCAATTCCTTTAACAAAGTATCTATTGTTTTTTTCAGTTATTTCCTTTTTTTATATTAAGGATTTTTACAATCTTTCTAAATTCTAAGTTCCTAAACATATCTTGCAGATTTATAATTAGTGAACGAAGTGCTTGATGGCAACTAATAAAAGATTCTTACTGATTTGTTGACAGCTTAATACAAAGCTACGATCAAATCTTTACCCCTCTCCCCAGCACTCCTTCTATCTATCTATCTATATATACTTTGCTTGTCTGGGCGTTTAATTGTCTGTATCCAATAAACGTCAAAACGGCAAAACCGATCGGGCCCAAATTTTAGGGAAGTTTTATGGATAATCCAAATTTCAAAAATTAGCCTCCAACAAAATTCGATTTTCATTGAATTTTTAATATTCACGAAATATTCTTTATAAAATCCGCGAAATGTTTTGTTTTTGTTTTACAATCATACAATGTATACAAAGAGAAAATGTTCACAATTGAAATGGAAGATGGGCGCGAAGCGCCCTAAAAGCTTAGTAGAATAAAAGCCTGAGACCAAAGTACAAATATATATGTAATGAATATCGTGTAACCCTATATCTGTAAACCTGAACTACGTTGTACATTATTAATAACCTAACTGCGCTTTCAATTAATTATCGACGTTTGTAAATAACTACGTAAAACCTGTATCACGTTTTAGTTTAATTACGTTTGTAAATAAGTACGTAAAACTTGTAATCAAGTTCATTAACTTAACCTATATCATAGAAACCAAATATTCATTGGAATAATACTATGTCTGATTACGGTGTTAGCAGAGGCGCAACTAGGACTTTTGCTAGGGGGGGGGCAATATATTATTTTGTTAGGGTTGTCGCCCCCCCTCTCAGGTGCTAGGGGAGGGCGCGCGCCCGGCCGCCCCCCCCTAGTTGCGCCTATGGGTGTAATTATATTCCTCGTTTTTGCAACGAGAGGGTTTGAGTGTATCTTGTAAAACAGATACCTGAGAAAACAGATAGAGTTGTGTCTGGATTGATATTGATACTGAAGTATTATAAAACGGAACAGTTCTTATGCCTTGTGGATTAACGAAAGGGATTAAGAATTGAACGGAATAGTTCTAATGCCTTGTGGATTAACGAGAGGGATTGATTGTTGAACGGAACAGTTCTTATGCCTTGTGGATTAATGAGAGGGATTAAGTATTGAACGGAATAGTTCTAATACCTTGTGGATTAACGAGAGGGATTGATTGTTGAACGGAACAGTTCTTATGCCTTGTGGATTAATGAGAGGGATTAAGTATTGAACGGAATAGTTCTAATACCTTGTGGATTAACGAGAGGGATTAAGTATTGAACGGAATAGTTCTAATACCTTGTGGATTAATGAGAGGGATTAAGTATTGAACGGAATAGTTCTAATGCCTCGTGTATTAACGAGAGGGATGAGTTGTACCTTGATTGATACTGATCTAAAAGTATTTACTACAGTATATATATCAGAGTTGGTTAAATTGTATATTTCTTCTCTTACTTCCTTGAACCTTACTTCCAGTTTTATTCCGAGAAACTTGAAATAAACGCTTTCTAATTTCATGGTTTGTAAAATAGGGTGTTCCAATAAACATGAGAGATAATTCTTATCGAATTCCGTCTTTAATAATTAATAAATGCAAAATTTTATATCAAACAAAAGTAGTTTGTATTTTATGACCAAGGCAAAGTTTTGAAATACCAAAGGACGAATTTAAAGAATTTAATCCGCGTCACTAAACCGCCAAAACCGGTTCCAATTGAGCGCCGGCTCAAATCTTGAAACACTGAATACAATTTTTAAGTGGAACCAACCATGTTTGAGCCGCGTCTCAAATTTGAGACACAGTCCAAATCCTTTAAATTCGGCCTCAAGATTACAAAAGCATTTGAAACTTTTGAATTAGAGAAAAGGATTAAAGTTGCTGAACATTAATCTGATTTTTTATTGGTCAGAAAACTTTAAAGGTTTGATGCTAGTGTTGAGTGCTATACGCATACAAAAGAATGCTGCGGAAATCACAGACGATTTAAAAGTTCGTTTCCATGTTTATTGAAACTCCCTGGATGTTAAGATTAATACCCTCTTATTTATCCCAGTATGTAATGCATCCCTGGAAACCCTGAGAGAAAATCTGGAAGAGAAAATTTCTCAGCTGGCGGTGAGATTTTGTAAAAATTAGACCATTGTTAGCTTTTCCATGATTCAATTTCAGGTTGGAAAACCTGCTCCGATCCCTCCCTTCACACTTGACAGTTCCAAGAACTCTAACAGTAAAATTAACACAGAGGGAGACAAATCTTTGGACCAGGAAGGTTAATAACTTAGTTTAAAGGGATTGTAAATGCCCTGTCCGTCAAGATTTTAGAAAAAAAGGATTGGTACCAATTTTTTTGGTCAAGATTATTTTTTTTACTTTAAAACTTCATTTTAAAGAATTTAAAGGGTCTTTGTGTAACTTTCATATTTTAAATAGACAGCTAGGTTGGATCAATTCCAAGATACTTATTCAGAATCAAAGACTAGGTTAGTTTAAATATCGCTTTGCTCTAAATTCTTCAATGAAATTTTTGAATTCGGAATGTTATTTTGATTATGTTCACTACTTATACTGAATGTCCTCTAAGTATACATAATGTCCTTTTAATATACTGAATGTTTTTGTCCTTTAAGTATACTGAATGTTAAGGTTCTCTAAGTTCACTGAATGTTTATGTCCTCTAAGTTTACTGAATGTTCAGGTTCTCTAAATGTACTGAATGTTTAGGTTCTGTAAGTATACTGAATGTTTAGGTTCTCTAAGTATACTGAATTTTTATGTCCTCAAGTATACTGAATCTTTATGTCCTCCAAGAATACTGAATGTTTATGTCCTCTAAGTTCACTGAATGTTCAGGTTCTGTAAGTATACTGAAAGTTTATGTCCTCTAAGTATACTGAATGTTTAGGTTCTCTAAGTATACTGAATGTTTATGTTCTCTAAGTATACTGAATGTTTATGTCCTCTTGGTATACGGAATGTTTATGACCTCTAAGTATACAGAATGTTTAAGTCCTCTAAGTATACTGAATGTTTAGGTTCTCTAAGCATATTGAAAGTTTAGGTTCTGTAAGTATACTGAATGTTTATGTCCTCTAAGTATACTGAATGTTTTATGTCCTCTAAGTTTACTGAATGTTTATGTCCTCTTAGTTTACTGAATGTTCAGGTTTTCTAAATGTACGGAATGTTTGACTTCTGTAAGTATACTGAATGTTTAGGTTCTCTAAGTATACTGAATGTTTAGGTTCTCTAAGTATACTGAATGTTTAGGTTCTCTAAGTATACTAAATAAGCTGGATAATCTATTGGCGGATTATGAGTATTATGATATCCCACCTCCTTCCGCTCCTCTCCCTGATAACCCAGGGTCTAACACAAGCTCCGTAAATATCTCCGTCAACGGCTCCGTGGACACTCTTGTCTCCTTCACAAACCAACTTCTCCTGGAGCTTAACAACAAATACACAAACCTTGACAGCAAGGTGGGTTCACATCGGGGAGTATCCAGGGGGGCGGGGTTTACAGTTAAAAGCCTTAACTTTCCGAAAGGGGGTTCAGCCCACTGTTATCACCCATAAACAGTTTTCGCAGGCATTATGCTCACATACGTATTTCAACGAACTTTATAAAAACAGGAACATGAAGGATTCACACCACTACCCTTAAAACCGTGATCAATATTGTAAAGTATAACATTAAAGATACTGTTCAATTCTGATTAAATCTTTATTGTTTTACTTGCAGAAGTAATAATTTGCGCAATTTTTTTAGAGAAACCAGAGCTGAAAATAATAAGGTTTTGTAATTATAAATAAAGCTTTTAATGGTACTATTATGAATCTGACATGCCGATCTATACATGAAGGGTTAATTAAGCTAACGCACACAATCACAGAACCTTTAAAATACAAAAAACGCCATTTACGGGCGTATAAACTCTATTGATAAAATAGTATTATCATAAAAACATATATATCGAGCATTCTAGTGAAAATTTTTTATCTTTTTCAATTGGAGGTTCATTTGTATTTTTAGATTAATAATCCCTTGAATTAACCATTTTCTGGTTCCGCTTTTTCTTTATTATCCTAGTATTATCTAATATTATGTTATTTTTCACAAACCTTTCAATATTAGCATTTATATTTTTTGAACATTTTGGATAATTTTTTTAAATCACATTTTACCTTTTTTCTTTCTTTTAATTCACTTCTTCCATTTTTGAATGAGCCCTTTCCCTCCCAGTCTTAAATATTTAGACATTACACTTAGTTTCCTATCCCTATCATAAATACTGTCGTCGACGTATATATCAATACAATAAAGCGACTTTTTAATTCGATTTTGAATTTCTACCAAGCTTTCAAACAGGATGGATACACATGGGATACACATAAACATGGAAACAGAGAGAAGCTGTCAATTATCAGCTTTTCTTTATTTACTTGTAAACTTGTAATTTGAAAAAGTCGTATTCATTGTATTGATATAAACGCAGACCACTGTATATCTTGAAGAAAATATTTCATGATCAAATGAATTTAGCAAAAGAAATCTAATGAATGTTTTCCAGGTTTAACTTTCCCACTGATTAAAGGGGGAACGTATGATTTATGCCTCGGTAAAGTAATCTCAAACCACAGTCTTCTGCAAATTTTACAATTATTATTATCAACAAATATCAGGAGTTTGCATTTCAGACAAACAAAGAAAAAATTGCTAAACTACTCTTTTTAAAAATAAGTTTTTTTAATCTAAATGTATTTTATCTTTTAACCTAGCACTTATTTCATTGGCTCATTTCTTCACACTTTCTAGATACAGTAAATACAGTAAAGAATTGTTTTACTTCAGATGTTTGGTTCATCTTGTGAACATTTTTGATACATTTATCATTTACTTCTGAAAACATGGTTCAATGAATCTAGATCTCTGGGTTGGAGAGGGAAGGGGAGAAGACTAAGAAGAAAATGAAAGAAAACAAGTTTGAGGATGAACTGCTCCGGGAGATGACAAGGATAGAGGACGAGGTTGGGTTCAAGATCTCCAGAATAAAGGATGATATTGCTACCGGAGAACAGTCTATTAGGACGGAAATAAAACTCAAGGATGAAGATATCGAACTTTTAAAAAAGGTAATAATTGTGTCTTAAAAGAATTTAAATTTAATTCATTATTTAAATACAATCCTTTTAAAGGAACATACACAACAATTAAGAGACGGGTTTGATGATCGTATTTGATCTCTGAAATACTTTGAAGCATTTATTCGACCATTAAATAATCACAAAACACTGCTTTTTTCCGAAATTAGGTCTGGCTTTTTGGACTTAAAAATATTAGTGGTATGACTAAATTTAAACAAAATTCTTCATATCTCCAATAATATTTAAAGCACAAAAAAAGCAAACCACATTTTTTAAATACCAGGTGTTTTTTGATTATTGCTAAAAGTATAAGATTAACCAATGATTGGCAAATTATTTTGAATTATTTGCCTCTAAATTTTCCTGAGACACTCTGTAAGTTGTAATTAAGTTTATTCTTTAACATCTAATTTACAAAATATTTGAAAGGTTATTTTTAACTTTAGATAACCACGAGTCGTCTGTCAATCTATGAGTCTAGAATAGATGCTCTGGAATCCATGATCCTAAACCTAACAATATCTAATAATCAAAACATGGAACAGTTTCTTCAAAGTAACAAGGTAACATGTATACAGGGTTCTCCAAAAAGGATGAGACGACTTTACGGAATTTATTAAAACTGTTTTTAACTTACATGGTTCCTTGCAAGCTTGAACCTGTTTCTTTCATCTCTGTAATTGTAGAGATACATTTAAAAAAAAACATTTTATAAGAAATAAAAGTATTGGCTCTGGATCTGCGCATTATTAACTTTTCATTAAAAATAAAAATATATTTTAGTTGGAGAAAAAAGATGAGCCGGAAGTAAGCACAACAGGAATATATCTATTCTGATTAATTTTGGAATGTTGTTATAATAAGTCCCGCAGTACAAGGTGTCCCAGGAAAATTGACAGTTGGGAGACGATCCTTCAAGATCGTCTTTGATGGTGATCTTTGAAATATTTCATCAAAAGCGCCTTTTTATCGCATTAAGCCTATACCCCCTTTCATTTCTCGCGAACACTCCCTTTAAACTAAAATAAAGATGACAAGGATAGATGAAATTTGTCTTGGTATAAGAGAGATCCAGAGAACCTGAGTTTCTATCTTCTCAAACCTCACAGGATCTAGATAGGATTGCAGCCTTTCTAGACGGAGATTCTGATACTTCATCCTCAACCTCATCCTCGTCCCCATCCGCATCCTCCTTCGCTGGATCTCGAACCGGGTAAGACACGTTAAACTCAGGTAAATAAGTTAAGTTTAAAGTCTTTTAGGTTTTTAATTATAACTCCTTTTTTGTAGAGCTAGCGAAAAAGAACAAAAATGTTTTGAATTTCTATAATGTAATCAAATTATTTTGCTTTTTTCAATTGTGACAATTTACAAAAGATATTTTTTCAACAAAGCCCGTGGAAAAAAAATTGAAAAAAATTATTAGAATTTTTTTGAGCCTGTAACACTCCCCGCCACCTATGAGTGTCCACAAAAAAATTTCAGCCCAATCGATCCAGCCGAATAGCCGGCTATACGCAACATATCCTTACGAATTCTTTTCTTGTATTATATACAGTAAACCCTATATAAGCCAAACATCGAAAGAATTTTTCAAATGTCGTCTTAACAATTTTTCAATGGGTTTAATACTTTTTTACGTAAATCTCAGTATTTGCGAAAATAAATAAATAGCCATGAATATGCGGGAACAGTTTTAAAGAGCTCAATATAATCATTTAATTAAAAAACTAAATATCTGCAACATTCCATTAACAGAAAGTGAAGAATATGACACTTGATGAATTCTTTCGATGTATGGCTTATTTAGGGTTTAACTGTATGTAAACAAGAGTAAGGAACTTGTTTGGTCGGATATCATGATTTAAGAACTATCTGGGTTACCTATTTAGGGTTTAACTGTATGTAAAAAAGAGTGAGGAACATATCATGATTTAAGAACTATCTGGATTACCTATTGCTCTAAAGAAAAAGAAACGAGATTTTAAACTAAAAGAAGATTACCATAGTTTAATGTGATTTTCGAATTTTAACTTTGGAAAACCCAACAGCTCAAAATTATTTTCCTTTCAGCCTAAACTGGAAATGTCAATTGGTAATTATAAAAGTTCGCCACCAAGGCACCAACCTTGCAATTTTTATTCTGATCTATTTCTAAAAAAGATCGTTTCTAACAATTTCCAGATGCAATATTCTTAGCGAAATTTTGTTACTGAAAGAAAGAATAAAGATGACAATCAGTCCACAATTATTTAGTTATCACTATAATAAACACCAGAAATTATATTCGAGAAAAAATCCAAGTACGTTCAATTATCTGTCTTTCCAACATGGCCATGTGGAATTCAAAATAATTTTAGAAAGCTTTAAAACATTTTCGACATTTCTGCTGAATATTATTGGGTTTATTATTCAAATAATTTCATAAAAAATTTTAAAATTGTAAAATTTTGTAAAGTAAAATCTTTAATAATCAAGGTTTTCTTGCGCTATATTTCCAGGAAAAACGATTTTCTATGTATTGTCTATCATTGTAGGTAAAGGAACTGAGTTTTTGCCACAAACTTAAATATTCTTATCCCTATATCTTAGCAACCCAATGTCGTAGACCTTAGATATTTCAAACTATTAATTCTGTTAGATCAAATAATCTAAGTTTGAAATATCAAAGGTTTATACCCCCTAGTTCCAGAGATAAAGAAATTAGAAAATTTGAGGTTGTGGCAAAAACTCAATTCCTTTAAGCAAATAAGAAAGAGTTTGATATGGCAGATGTCCTGCATGGAGCGGACTCTTGCATGGGGCGGACTCCTCCGAAAGTTTTAAACACAGTGTTAGACATAAAAACCAATGTTATGACATTTTTCAATATTTATTAATGTATTTTGATTTAAAAACACTTCAAAAATTATCTATGTCTCGAGTAATTATTGTTTCGTGATTTGAAAGGAAGACCCTCTTTAAAATACATTGAAGAACTAAATGCGTATTCAATATATATCAAGTAATAATTTTTAATGTTTTGACATTGCTTTTTATGTCTTACATTGTGTTAAAATGGTAAAAATTTCAGGGGTGGAGTTCGCTCCTTACAGGACACCGGACATACAGGGTTAGTTCGGATGTGATTTTAGTATCGAAGCATACGGAAACTTACTATTTAAGCGCTGTCACACTTTGTGCGTCCTTCATATGATTCTTCACTGTGCGTCCTCATAATTAGTGGATCTTAATTTGTGCGTCCTTCATATGATTCTTCACTGTGCATCCTCATTATTAATGGATCTTAATTTGTGCGTCCTTCATATGATTCTTTACTGTGCGTCCTCATTATTAATTTGTGCGTCCATTTAAGCTAAGTGCTTTTTCTTTACGGTTTTGGAACAGAGAATAAAGATGAATGTTACCAATGAAAAGAAAGCCATCAACGCATGAAATCCAGTTTTTCTAGATTTTTAAATCCGAAACTTAAACTTATTATACAGGGTGACCCAATAAAAATGGGAATTAATTGAATCGACTTCTATACCTTCTTTCGTAAATATAATTTTGTAACATTTCACACAAAAAACCATTAGTCTTGGGATTTCCAAAATGTGGTCTACCCTTTCTTCACCTTCAAAATTGACGGCGATATAAGGAAATTTTTTCAGATTCCAGTTGATTAAAAATTAACAAAACTGTTTATATGTTTAATGTCTCCGTCAATTATATAGAAACAAAGAAGGTAGACCACATTTTGGAAAGCTCATTAGACGTTCAATTTGCTTTTGATGCACTTTGTCATTTATCAATTATCGGAAATGAAAGACGATATTCAAGTTGTCTATCAATTCCCATGTCTACATGTTATTTTTTATTTTTATAAATTTGAACTTTTTTGTAGAGGGATCGATGGTTCTTCTTCTTCTCGTGATCATTACTGGAACAAATATAATTCGGAGGCATCAAATCCTCCACTGGTCCTGAAGGACAGATATGAGGCAGCTGATAGATCCCGACGTCGGAGTGGACGGTGGCTGGTATCTGATGATTATGAAAATCAGGATTCAAACAACTGTGATTGTTTATTTATGCAGGTACAGGGTGTCCCACGAAACATGACAATTGGTGAATAGTTTGCAATGTCTTCTTCCATGATACTGTACTAGTTATTTGAGACTTTTTGCAGTTTATTTCGTTAAACAAATCTTTTACTCAAATATATATTTGCTTGAAATCAATTTTCCTATAATATCACTGCCATTTAGTATTTCTTATCATCATCTTTGGTATTAAACAACTTATCAAATTATGGAAGAAGACATTTTAGAATAATCACAAACTGTCATGTTTCGTGGGACACCCTGTATTAAGGGACTGTAGACGTAATTTCGAGTGGCATGTCCGATTTACAAGGGTACCTCTTAAATCTTTATCGGAGCTACAGGGAGATATTGTCGTTTTTCTATCTGAGAAAGTGTTTAATTATGACAATTTTCTATTTCCTGTTGTTGCAATGCATGAATCCGCAAGTCACTTTTATTGAGCAATTAATTTATTTTTAAGTCACAAAAATAGGTATGACAAAGACAAAGGTAACCGTTGTGAATCGGATGTGCCATTCTATATGTGAACGGTCACATGGGCTTGCATCTTTATATAGTTCCTTAAAGTAATCCATTCTCAAGTACGTAGTACTGCAAGGTCAGAAATGCATTTAAATAATCATTTCTCTGAAAGAATATTTATTTAAAGAAATCTCAGTCGAAATTCATCATTTGGAGACTTCCATTTTCTTTTTCTCTTTTTGTTTTAAATTATGCATTTTTCGCTTTTTAATACCATAACAGAAAAAATAATCACAGGGTTATGAAATGTGAAAGAAAGATGAATACTTTAAAATTTGTATTGAACATTGCTTAGAAACCTTTGCCTGAAAACTAAACTTTCCTAATTAAAGTCAAAACCCACTCAACTTTGTATTTTCAAACCAAGCTAGGGACATTTTCGTGGTTTATCAAGTTTGCCAATCAAAATTTAAGGCAGTAAAAGACAAGAAGAGACTACTACTTTATATATAAATATAGTCTTATATTGGTATATATTCTAGGAAAAAACCATTTTTAAAAAAAATAAGAGTAAGCGAAATCAGAATTGCATCCTTGGCAAATCTGTAATTAATCTGTATACTAGGAGAGGCTGGCCATCCTGGAGTCTGGGTTCGAGAACATGATGATAGAGGTTGAGGATCAGATGGCTGGAATACAGGTTTAAAAACAAATACATTGTGCACAGGGGCTCTGGGAAAAGTGTGTTTAAGCTTTTTCGCCCTACTTGTAAATAAAATGTGCATCTGTAAGGTACAATGCCCTGAACTGAAGAGGTCGTCTTCCGTCGATGAAATATTTTGCTTTTAAATACCGTTTTAACCTTCAAAAGTAGGCCTAATATTCAAAAAAGTGCCGTGTCTCTCTTCCGAAGATTTTCAAAAAATTTCGAATATAATCTTATTTTTACGTTTATACATTTACGAATATATGCCTATTTTTGAAGGTATTTAAAAGTTTGTTCCATCGATGACTCTCTTTCACCATAGGCGTACGAGGAGTACGAGAGCATTTGTGTAGGGGGCACAATGTTGCCTACTCTTGGCAACATTGTGCCAACATTTAAAAACCCCCTTTTTGAAAAAATATTGATACATTTTTTAACTATGTAAACTATTCCATCATTTACAGTACATACTTCCATTTTACAAGTGTTAATAAATTATTTATGTAATTTCTGAAGTGGACTCATCAGATAGTCCCTCTTAGAATACTGTGGTGACTGGTGTAAGCTTCAAGGGGTGAAAAATAGAAATTTTAGGAAATATCTACAGTGAAACCCTTAATAACGAATACATCGAAAGAATTCATCAAATGTCGTATTGTTCTTTCTGATAATGGAATGTTGCAGATATTTAGTTTTTTAATCAAATGATTATATGGAACTCTTTAAAACTATTTCCGTATGTTCATGGCTATTTATTTATTTTCGCAAATACTGAAAATTTACATAATATAGTATAAAACTCATTGAAAAATTGTCAAGACGACATTTGATAAATTCTTCCGATGTATTCGTTATTAAGGGTTTCACTGTATGTTTATAGGAACGATACATATTGTATTATAAATAATGATATCTGTAAGCTTTCCTAAATACGAAAAACGACGTTTATAAGGGAAAAAATCGATTGAAAATATTTTGAAAAGGGGCCGTGCACACTTTCGAACAAAACGGGATTTTAGAGGAAAATGTTTCATCGACGACACTCCCATTTAAGGACATTGTACCTCCTAGAAGCCATTTTTAGTACAATATAAATCGATATATGAAGTAGGCACTTCAACCCACTTTTTTCAGAGACACTCTGTAGCAAGAATGTAATGCATTAATTGCAGTTGTGTATACTCTGCGTACATATTGAAATGAAACCAGTTCTCTGGGCGGAATTTGTAAACAAGAATAGATGCCTCAGTGTTCGTTGAGTATTCGAGGAGGTTAAAACATTGAATTTTGATAATTTTGATAATTCACATAATAGTTTCCTATGACCAGAATATTTCAAAGATTATATATGTGAAAGACGGATCCCATGTCAGGCTTAGACATCCGTCTTGTGTTTACATTACCGCCCAGTGACAGTAAACAGCAGTACAAAAGATGCGTACACCTCTGAAATAACTTTCCTTGCATTAAATCCTTTCTCTGTAGCAAGTGATATCATAAACAAATTTCAAAATTTTGTACAAAATGAAGACACCAATCATTCCATAGTTTTTGTTATTACAATGGACTCATCACATAAATTTCACTAGAAGGGGATCATTCATTCGTCTTACTGTCCCGTTTTGCCTCATATCATAGTCTGTATTTGTACTGTACTGCTTGCCCTGGCTAGTTGAAATTGGGCCAGGTATATGAAATGTACTGCCGGAATGTACCGTGCCATAAAACTGCGGAATAGAAAGACGACTGTCAAGACTAAATCATATGCTATTATACATTTAGATTATAATGAAACACAGTAATATTGCAGCGTATGCAAACCCATTTCAGTTCATTTCAAGACACTGGAAAAAGATTTTGCTTTATAACGTTGACATCAAATACACAAAAGATTGCTTAAATATAGTCTTCATTATTATTCCACACTATGGGTCCCACTCTACTGTATTGTTTAATGTTAAAACCCCAGAGTTCTGTGACACGAATGGTTCACCGTCTACAGGATCTAGAAAATATGCAATCCTCCTCCCTTCCTAGAAGTCCCATCTGTGTAGCAAAACAGGTAACTAACGATTTCTTTAAAATATCTAAAAAGCAAATAAAATATTTCAGACGATTTGAGATAAAAAATCTAAAAATAATAATTCCGCTTTTTTCTTGACCTTTTCGCATTATTCTGCGAATTCTATGTTTATAAAAGGAAAAATGTATTATTGGTTCTCACTGCCATATTCATGTTATTGTACATTGAGAACCAGAAAACTCTGGAATAGAAAGTCGACTTTTAAACTCAAGTTGTGACTTTTATAAAGTCCAATGAACACAAGGCACGACAATTGTGCAGTGTAAACAGAAACATTTCACATAAGTAGTGAAAACTACCTAGTGAAGCTATTTGCTTAGAACATCAAATGCACTTCAGTATTGCATTAATGTCGTCTTCATATTCTAAAGTTTTATGGCGATTACTTTAGGTAGTAGCTGGGCTGGACGGAATGGATACATGGTGCCAAGAGCAGTGCACACTTGGAACTTGTCCAGAGAGATTGTGCTCTTGTCCATCCACAATACCACCAAGCTAATCTTGTATACCCTGAATACAAGACTAATCTTGTATACCCTGAATACTTCTACACACTAATAATTAAAGAAGATATATTCATAAATATATTTAATCTGGTAACTCAGGATACTCATTTTTAACGTAAATTGATATTGTAAAAAACTGTCAAAATTGTGATAATACTTTAGTAAGGTCTGTTCAAAAATATTTACGATCTATAAAAGTAAAATATGTGATAATTTAAATATTGAGCATTATAAAGTTTACAAATTTCACGTTGTACATAATGTTTTAACTAATTTTAAAGAGCAATGGTTTACCATACAAAACATAAATTGGTACGGTGTTGATTATCGAACTATAAAAAAATATATAAAATTAGTACAGTGGTGTTTTTAAAACTACTAAAAATTAAAATTTATAACATTACAATTAAAAGAAGTCGTTTCTTAAGTTCTGAATTGAAAAAAGGTAAGCATTCATCTTGGGAACTTCAGATATTTCCGGCCTTTTTTGGTTGAGAAAAAGAGATTTTTCTGTTCTTATTGAGAAAGGAAATGCATTATAAAGTAGCTAGTATGTGAGTATCACAACGTTGGTTATTCGACGATATGTCGGGCACTGAAAATAGATTAAAGGTTTAACAAATCTGTCTGTGTGATTGTTTGTTTGTTTGCAATAAACGTCAAAACGGCTGAACCGATCGGGCCCCAACTTTATGTGGGACCTCGCGTGACCACAGGGATGGTTTATGGATTTTGAAAATCCACGATTTTTTTTTGTAAAATCCGCGATTTTTTCGTTTGTTTTACAATGTATTCAAAGAGAAGATGTTAACAAATGAAATAGAAGATGGGCGCGAAGAGCCCTTAAAGCCTAATACTTAGATAAAAAAAAAATTGCAATAGTAATCATTATTGGGACTATCCTTTCAAGTGAGACTTCATTTTAAGTAGGTCACTGATTAATAACGTGGAAGATTCTTACAAATCCTCCATTATTTCAGAAGTGCGCAAGTCACTTTTTAATAAAACCTGTAAGTGAAAATAATCAGTTTTAAAAAGAGTAAAACCTGGACATACCACTTTAAAAATGGTGGGTCACTTGAAATAACTTCAACAGTCCCTTTAAGTGCTCCAGTTTAGTTTGAGTATGTTATGGTGATTAAAATTCGGGTAACATGTGTAAAAAGAGAACATTTTTAAAAACATAAGTTGATCTGTGAAGTCAAACTTTAAACATATGATGGTTACAAAGCTGTCATAATTATCAATTAAGCTGTCACCTTGAAAATAGAATATAGAAGACAAAGTTACTGGGGTTCCCTGGCGGCCATTTTTTTTTGGAAGACGCCATCTTTAGATTTTTATCTCCAACCATTCAAACATTCAAACTTTAAATCCTTACATTTTGTTGGGGATTTCTTTCCCCAAATTCCAAATTTTTTCTTAATTTTTCATTTTTTGACACATGTTTTTTGCTTAGAAATTTTTTTGTTCTTTACTGTGTTGGAAGATATTGTCATTTGGATCCGAATCCTAAACTGAATAAGCAGTTTTGAGGATCTGGATTTAAGAGGCTTAAAGTTGTAAATTCAGCGTATCATTATCATGAATACTGCATAAAACCCTTAAACAAAAAGTGGCGAGTAGAATTGAGCAAAAAATATCAGTTTAAACGATTAGTTGATTGTTATAATGTCGTCTTCTAGTCGATTTGTATCAGCTGCACAATGTTGGTCAGCTGTTCTTTGATTGTTCTAAAAGATGGCCGATCATCGGGTATTGCTGCCCAGCATAGTCTCATCACCTAAACAACAAATAAATTAAGTTTTAACTCATTTGTGATTAAACTGACGCAATTTCACGAAAAGTCATGACGGAAACGGAATACAGAAAACGATTTTCCTAATCCCAAAAATTCCTAAAAACTTTAAATGTTTAAAAAGAGGATTAGAAACGATAAAACTTTTCCAACGACAATTCCCTTAAAATCGGTAAATTCTTACAATTGCAAAAATTTAATAGTTAACACAACTACAAAAGGGTCTTTTTCTTAATCTATAAAATACGATTATTCTTGTATTTCTGTTACCTCATAAACCTGGTTCGGGCATGCAGCCGGCTGGGAGAGTATTTGCCCGCGTTGAACCCGTTCCACGACCTCGGGGTTCTTTGCCCGGCCGTAGGGCATCTCGCCGCAGGTGAACACCTCCCAGCACAACACACCGTAGGCCCAAACGTCACTCTTGCTGGAGAACCTCGTGAAGTTCAAGACCTAGAAGTGAAAACATAATTAGAATATTCTGACTAGAGGAGGGGATATGGTGCCCAGAGGTAGCTGAGCCCCCTGGACAAATTCTCCAACATTTCTTCCTCCACTAGTTATGAAAGGAACGTTACAAGGAAATATTTTTTTAAGACTTGAAGAATTTTAACAATTTTTGAATTACTTTACCTCTGGTGGACTCCACTTTATAGGAAACTTAGCTCCCCCATTGCTAGTATACTGGTCATCTATCACATATCGAGCCAAACCGAAGTCAGCAACCTAAAATAAAAAAATGGATTCTATTTTTTAAATTCCAATTTTCTATCTTATGCAGCATAAAAAATTGTGTCAAAGTAAGATTAATTGAGGATTTAATTTAGACTTTTAAAAATATGCTGATCTTGAAACTATGTATCAGATTAGCATGTATTTACTGAATGTGTACTATTTCTTGTAATAACGAAGAGCAATAAAGCTGTTATTAATATTACATATAAAACTTTTGCCTTAACAAAAGTATTAATTTGTCAAAATGTTTTGAAATCCGCCATTAGAACCAGAAAAATCCGTGAAATTTTTGTTTGTTTCATTGCTTTTTAATGATAAAAACGAAAAAATTGTTATTGTGGATATCTTATAAGAACTAAATTTGTTGTGAGAAAAAGCATGGAAATATAGTACAGGGTGTCCCACGAAACATGACAGTTGCTGAATAGTTTTGAATGTCTTCTTCCACATACTGTATTAGATATTAAAGACTTTTTGCAGTTTATTTCTTTAAAACAATGGTTTACTGTGAAATCAATTTTACTTTAATGTAATTGTCATATAAAAAATGTTATTAGTCTCTTTAGTATCAAACAACTTATCAAATTATGGAAGTAGACATTTTAAACTATTTACCAACTGCCATGTTTTGTGGGACACCCTGTATGAGAAAACTTACCTTGACGACGTTCTCGGCGCCGACGAGACAGTTCCTGGCGGCGAGATCACGGTGAATATAGTTGTGGCGCTCCAGATAGGCCATACCACGGCTAACCTGGATCAAAATTATATTAACTTGTTGTTTGTTAATTCAAAGCACAAAAGAGAAAATCTGTAAATTATTAACATATTTTATAAAGAAGTTATGATAGGTTCTATAGAAGTTATGACTTCAGAATCATAAATACATGAATTTGATAAATTCAAATCAACTTTAAATAAAAAACCATTTATCGGAGAAATTCTGCAAACTAAGATTTCATTCCCATTAAAAGTTTTGAAAGGCAAGCTAATGCTTTATTAATAGTTATGCATCAGATTCAGAAGTAAAAATGTCCTTGAAGGTTTCTACGTATCCTATTTTTCATGTTTCTGTTAAATCTTAATTCTACTTATATATAGTATACCTGTACAGCAAAATATAGTAATGTACAAGGATCTATTTACCTGTAGAGCAAAATCTAGTGGTGTACAAGGATATATATATTCCTGTAGAGCAAAATCTAGGAGTGTACATGAATATTTGTACCTGTAGAGCAAAATCTAGTAATGTACAAGGATCTATGTACCTGTAGTGTAGAGCAAAATCTAGTAGTGTACAAGGATTTATATTCCTGTAGAGCAAAATCTAGGAGTGTACATAAATATTTGTACCTGTAGAGCAAAATCTAGTAATGTACAAGGATCTATGTACCTGTAGTGTAGAGTAAAATCTAGTATGTGTACAAGGATACATATTCCTGTAGAGCAAGATCTACTAGTGTACATGAATATTTGTACCTGTAGAGCAAAATCTAGTAATGTACAAGGATCTGTGTACAGCGAAGGCTTCAGTTTTCTTAGGAATGATAATAAGCTGCCGTGCTAAAAATAAATTAAATTTAAGAAGTAATATCTATAAAATAAAACAAGACATTCATATCTATGTTGCCTACAGCCGACCAAACGTCTGGACTTATTGGGCTGAAATTTTTGTGAACACTCATGGGTGGCCGGTGGGGTGTTATGGGGTAAAAAAATCTTTCTTTCTTTTTGAAAAACTAACATTTTTTTTTCAACGAGCAACGCCGGGCCCTTCAGCTAGTAAAAAATAAAATTAAAAGTTTAAAAATTTAAAATGAAAAAAATTATGAAATAATTCTAATTTACCTTCATGTACTCTGTTACTATAAAGATAGGTCTGTTCTTGCTGCACACTCCGTACAGTTGTACAAGATTCTGGTGCTGCATTTTAGTCATCACCTGTACACAATACATCTTTTATGTACAGTTTATAATTTGGTAATGTGTAGATGGATTTGTTCAAACATAGTCGTTGTTCAAGTTGTCAAATCTATCATAACTTTAAAACGAAAAAATAATGTTGATAATGTTAATAATGTTAATAATGATGATAATAATGTTGATAATGTTGATAATGTTGATATTATTGATAATGTTGATAATGTCGATAATGTTGCTAATGTTGATAATGATGATATAATGATGATAATGATGATAATGATGATAATGATGATAATGATGATAATGATGATAATGATGATAATGATGATAATGATGATAATGATGATAATNAATGTTGAAAATGTTGAAAATGTTGAAAATGTTGAAAATGTTGAAAATGTTGAAAATGTTGAAAATGTTGAAAATGTTGAAAATGTTGAAAATGTTGAAAATGTTGAAAATGTTGAAAATGTTGAAAATGTTGAAAATGTTAAAAGTTGATAATGTTGATAATGTTGATAATGAAGATATAATGATGATAATGATGATAATGATGATAATGATGATAATGGTGATAATGTTTATAATGTTGATAATGTTGATAATGATGATAAAGTTGATAATGATGATAATGTTGATATTGTTGATATTGTTGATATTGTTGATATTGTTGATTGTCGACAAGGTATCATCAAAGCCTTTATCTGCTTATTGATGTGGAAGATATCTTAGTTTGTCTCGCTTGAAAAGTTTGCTTTATTGGCAATTTTGTCTATCATTTCTATAGCAGAAATTTGCAAGTAAGAGAAAACCCAAATCGAAAATTATTAAAAACATTCATATCTCATTCTCGTTAATTCTTTTTTCAGACACAGGTTATAAGTGTACCATTATTAATTGGACATGGCACTCTATAAATGGAGCTGGTCACTTGAAATTAGCACAGAAAAAAACTTTTTCTTCACAATTTTATTGTTTGAAAAAGGGTGTGTGCGCTGCTTAAATGATCAAAAAATATTTACGAACAGGAAATGTCGTCTTTACCTTGGCTTCCTCGATAAAATCGTCTTCACTCATAGTTCCCTCCTTCATCATTTTAACCGCCACGTCAATCGTCCCCTTCCACTTCCCCCGCCGGACGACACCAAACTGACCGCTACCTAGCTCCTCGCCTAGCGTTAACTCCGTAGGGTCAATCTCCCACTTCCCATGACTGAGACCGGCGGTCGGCGGTTTAGACCTTCCAGGCGGGCACTTAAGCCGGCACGCTAAACCGCCGGCGTTGTGTGAATGATATTCTATTAGTTTAGCGATGGACTGACAGCAATGCTTCTCAGATAAGAAGTAACCAGCGATGTTTTGTTTTATGTGATAATGTTTTACCTAAACAAAATAAATAAATTTTTAAAATAAACTTTTGTACTTTTTAAAAAACTCACTTGATTATGAGGTATTTTAGTGAACAACGATAAGGTGTAAAGTCCCTTCGTCGAAGAGTTTCTGACGACAAAACAGCCTTCTTTATCCTCCGTCTTGAGCAGCGACTCGGCGCGCTGCCGCGACATGTCGCCAACGTACCAGTCGAAACTAGTTAGACCTAGTTCGTCGAACTTTTTGACGTAGTTGGAGGGGATGAACCCGACCTCTGCAGATGAGTTCTCCACCTGCCACCAGTGATCCTAAACACAAGTTTCAGCATTCTCAAAAATATTAATATATGTTAACTGTCACTTAGAGTACTTCAAAATCAGTTAGAACTATGTACTTTGCACTCCATGTCTGTTAATCAAGGAAGCTAGACTCCCAATATCTTTGATTATAAAATAAGTGTACTGCAGTTTCTGGGAGATATATATAAAAAAACTTGACCTGAGTAGCACTAAGTTTGTTTTTATTCCTCCCAGAAACGAGTACATATTTTATGTAAACTAGGATATGGGAATTTCTGGTGTATGTTCCTAGCTGTTGATGATCCATTTCTATAAACTGTTTGGAAGTTTACTGCGTACTAAGAAGTGAACTGTGTACCTGTGAATCATCCAGTACAATGTACTGCTCCCCTTTGATCAATGAAAGATCTCCAGGTTCTATAGCAGTAAAAGGATACACAGCAACCACGATCAACCTCTCCGGGGGACCTGGAGAGTCCGGAGATAGAAGAGGATCGGAGAGAGGGAGGGGAGGAGCAGGATCAGATTTAGTTGGTCTCGGAATCCAGGAGATAGGTTGGCAACCTAGAACATTCTTGTTTGGTTCTCCACAGCACAACCATTTACTGGACCAGAGCTCAGGATGAAAATTGTCGCAGAGCGCCGGGTTGTGTCTGATCAGGTTCCGGAGTAAGATAATCCATTCTTCCCGCTCAGCGTCTCCCTTAGACTGGATATACAGGGTGTAATCTTGTCCACTCTCTGTGTACTTTATCTAAAGAAAATTGTTTTCTTTATTGTCTCCATATTTCTTACTTTTAAGCTTCCTAATATTTACATATATTCCTCTTTCTCTCTACTATTATATTGAGATCATAAATTTAGAACCTAAAGGGACTGTAAGCGTTATTTCAAGTCATCCTCCGGCCTCCATGCACAGATGTTTTGTCTGATCAAGTATAAATTAAATATCAATGTTTTTGTTTCTTAAAACCGTTTTTATTCATTTGCGGTTTCTCTGCAAAAGTGACTTGCGCATTCCTTGGTTTTATGAAGCAATGGAGAAACTCGCAGAAAGAAACACTTTTGGAGTAAGAAAAAAGACGGTATTTTCCACACTTCATATCAGATTAAGGTTTCAAGGGTATCGTTGTAAATCGGGCATTGCCATCGTTGCATAAAGGGTCACTTGAAATTAAGCTTGAAGTCTCCTTAATCCATTGCATTTTTGTTTGAATTTTCAATTTGATGTTCGGAAAAAAATTCTTTTTGTTTTGATTTCCTCTTTCTTTCTTTTAACTCCAGCTTCGTAATTTAGGTAAATATTCACATTTAGATAATTATAAATTATCAACCCTCTTTGATTTTTGATTTACCATGTTTTTAGTTACCTTTTATTCTTGATTTCGGACATTGTTAGAGGTTTATTTTTCATACTTTTGTTATTTATCTTTTATAAAGTTTAAAAATATCTAACCTGGAAGCTTTGAGGTCTATCTTCAATTCTAACATTCTCAACAAGTTTAATATCTCGGATATATATCCGTCCTTTCTCCTTCCTCTTGGACTCTTCGTCTCCGTCATAGTAGGCCAGAGAGGTTCGAGTCAAACAAAACCATCGATCCTGGTTTCAATTCATCATTTGGTTTCAATTCATCGTTTGGTTTCACTCAAATTATTAATATCTTTTCTTGTATTGTATGTTTTTCATATGGTTCTTTTATATTCCTTGTTTTGAACATAAAATTAAATTATTTTGTAATGCAAATTGTTTAAAAAATTAAAAATTAATATTTAATTGGAAATGATAATTTCCTTATAGTTAGTCCAGGATATGCGAGATTTAAGCTGGGACCTAGAATATTAAAAGATTAGATTAAAATCTTAGATAAGTAATAAATAATTAAAAAAGTTCTACACATATTCCATGAAAAACAAGTTGAATATGACATTACAATCTTGATTAAAGAACTATATCTAAAATAAAAAAATTAATTTTAAGTTTAAAATTAGTATTTATTTCCCCCCCCCATCCCCCCCTCTCAAAAGTAATCAATTAAAAAATATTAATAACTTAAAATAATTTAGTTGATTGTACAAGAGAATTCTTCTTTTGTCAAAACTTAATTTAAGCACGAATAAGTAATACATCTAATGAAGTTTGGGTAATTTCTTATTTAACGAATTTTGGACCCCTGCCCCCTCGCCCACAATTTAGTCCATGGATCTCATATGTAACACATGGATATAATTGGTCATGTGGCCGCAGCGCTCGGCCCCCTAGCCTGTCCTAGCCGCGGCGCTCGGCCCCTCAGTCTGTCATAGTCGCAGCGCTCGGCCCCCTAGTCTTTCCTAGCCACAGCGATCGGCCCAGAAATTGTATTAACCTAACCTAACCCTAAAATAATATTTTGCTGAAAAATAAGTGGTCATGTACAAATTTGATAGAAGGGGGGGGGGGGGGAAAGGTCCAAAAATCGTTCTCTAGGACAGACATGAAGTATTTATACTACAACTATATATATTTTACACATTTGTCAAATTGGATAGTTTTTAGTTTTAACAAACTTAATAGCAAAATAACGACAGGATAATAATAGGTAGACTAAAAATAAAAAAAAACAAAAGTTCAAGAAAACAAAAAAATTGTACCTTTTTGTCATCCAGCTGTGTTTAAGTATTTCATCCTGGCTTCCTTGTAGAGACATCTTACCCATTCTGCTCCTCTCATCCCTCATCCAGTAGAAGCATACTGGTTGAATACATCAACAAGGTTCACTTTCATTACTCCGGGTCCTGATATACACGCGGAGAAATTCTTGAATATCTAGATCTATTGATAAAGGAGAAGAATTTCCGGTTGAAGTTTAAATTTTATTCTCCACCCCCATATATATTTTTAAAGGCAGGAAATTCCAAGAATATTTCTATATGCATTCATTCATTGGATATAAATCAATCACGATACGTTCATTGCGCGTTAATATCACTTATTTAACAATTATGTATCACTTTTTATAACTATTGCAATTTGCACTGTTAACTATTGAGGACGGAATTGTATCTTGTGTTCAGAGCAAGGTTGTGTCTACTCCAAGCCTGGTTTGAAGAAGGTTGGGTCCGGAGTAAAAGTGTGAAGGATCAACATAAAACCGTCCCGTCCCGTCACCTGTTCAGCTCTATACCTGTCCCATTCTCTCTCTCTCTCTTGTCTACGTTCTCACGCTGTGTACAGCTACAGGGGATACAGGGTTCACCACAATTTTCATTAGATTTTAACAATATGTTAAAAAATATTTCAAGTTGGATGTTTGAACAAGATTCACTCATTGACGTAAATGAGCAAAGGAGCTTGAAAATCACGTCCTTCCATTTCAATTTAAAGGCCCAGAATAATATAAAATTGTTATAAAGGCCATAAATAAAACAAATAATAGCTGCATGGAATAAGCTTAAGTTCTATAGTGAAGGGTAATGATTTCCATGAAGGGGGGGGGGGGGTCATCGTCGCCCCACCCCATGCATTGTTATTATTATGGATATTTTCTACATTAATACAGCAATAAACATTTCTACACATATATTAACAAAGAACAAGAATTTAAGGCTGAAATATTTGAATAATTAAAACATATTTTTACCCTTCTAAGGACAAGATTTAAATTAAACCATTTTTTGTGCAATTATTATTAAAAATTGGCACAATTGAGTTAAAAATTTGACCATTGACATAAAAGATGTGAAATCCCCCATCATAACCTTTTATAAGGGTACACACATAGAATAAAATAATATTATATTAACGACAAGGATCCTTTTTTATAGATCTAGAAGTCCTTTAATCTTTTGGCGTTAAGTTATGACACGTTCCTTGAACAAGACTTAATAATCGATAAAATAAAGCCTTCACCCATAAGGCCATCAACCAAGTTCAAGGTGGCGTCCAAATTAAAACCATAATTGCTGAATCTTTGAGAAGAGGGCCACTGGGCCAGGAATCAAGATATCTCAGAAAATGGCGGGATCAGTATGGAATAAGCTATTTAGTGATATTACCATTGAAATCATTATCACAAATAAATTTACAAAATATCATGAACAACAGTGGTCAAATGTGCAATTTAACAATATTATTTATAGTTCAGGGTTACACCCAAAGGATCAAGGATGTAATGCAAGGAAAGTTAATTGCAGTCTTGTATACTTGTATAGATGCATCAGTGTTCGTTTAATATCCGAGGAGGTTAAAAGCATTAAATTTTGATAACTTTGGTAATTCACAAAAAAAGTTTCCTATGACCAGAATATTTCATTGATTTTTTTATTTGAAAGATGGATCCCATGTCAGGCTGTAACATCCGTCTTGTGTTTACATTAGCGCCCAGAGACAATACACTGCAGTACAAAAGATGCGTATGCACTTCTGAAATAACTTTCCGAGCCCGAAATTTAAAAGAGTATCGTAGAACGTAATTTCCGAGTTCCTTTTTGGGGTCTTAACATTTGTGTAGAGTTTGATTTAAGAGATTTAAAAAATGTAGTATATGAAAAAATAAAAAAATATTTCATAACAAAATATTGAAATCCACAGAACTATAACCCTATTCTTGAAACCTGGGTTTTTAAAACTGGTTTTCACAACGATACCCTGTCTAAGTTGCGACTGTACAGAAAATTATTTTGTCGGTTTCCTTAAATTCAGAATTGAGTTTTTTTCTAAATCATTTAATATGCCAATAACAGACTTTATTTAAGTCAGAAGACTTCATAACTTCAAGTTAAGTCATAATTGAAGAGTTTTAGGTCGTCTTTACAGTCACATCCTTTATAGGTAACCCTGTATCTTATGTTAGATAAATTTCCCTGCAGTTACTGGGAAGTTTCTGTTCCGTCTCCCACGCTTCGAATAAAACTCTTGAAGATATTGCCAAAATTTAGCCAAAATTAGCATTTTAAAACATACTCTCTGCACACCGCAGGCCTTCAGGCCCTCACCTGTCCAGGCATGTTTATTTATGCAGAATTATACATGACATTCAAGACTAGAAACCGTTCCCCCAACCAGACATATTTGCATATATTTAGCAAAACATTCTTGGCTCTTCTTTACAATCCCAAAGCTTTGATCTGTGAAACTAAGGAAAGCCCAAGCAAACCAAGAAAATTGACCTGTTAAACAATAATCAAGTGTATATTTTCAAGATAAATTGGACATCAAAAGCATGTTTGTTAACCTTTTCCCTTCATTTTACCCAAAACTTTATTTATTTTTCCCTATTCAGCAAATAAAACCCACACACAAAAAAAAGTTTTTTAGAAGGAAAAAAAAGATTTCCAGAAGGAAACAGATTTTCAGAAGGAAAAAAAAGATTTTCAGAAGGAAAATTAAGATTTTCAGAAGGAAAAAAAAAGATTTTCAGAAGGAAAAAAAGATTTTCAGAAGGAAAAAAAAGATTTTCAGAGGGAAAAAAGATTTTCAGATGGAAAAAAAGATTTTCAGAAGAAAAAAAAGATTTCCAGAAGGGAAAAAAGATTTTCAGAAGGGAAAAAAGATTTTCAGAAGGGAAAAAAGATTTTCAGAAGGGAAAAAAGATTTTCAGAAGGGAAAAAAGATTTTCAGGATTTCAGATTTCCAGAAGAAAAAAAAAGATTTTCAGAGGGAAAAAAGATTTTCAGAAGGAAAAAAAAGATTTTCAGAAGGAAAAAAAAGATTTTCAGAAGGAAAAAAGATTTTCAGAAGGAAAAAAAAGATTTTCAGAAGGGAAAAAAGATTTTCAGAAGGGAAAAAAGATTTTTAGAAGGGGAAACAGGCTAAGAAGAAATGATGTTTCAAGAAAATATACCTAAATACAGAATACAACCTGAAGAAACAGATTCGAATAAAGTTATAAACAATTTCTTAAACTCTGTCAACTAAAATTCTGTTGGAAAAAAATTAAGGAGTTCATTTAAATTCTGAATTACCCCCTATACTTTAAAATTCCTATAACCCCAAGGTTTGATTACAAACATAAAAATAAAGAACAAAACAATAACAGTACAAGAGAAATGAAAGAATGGAAGTTTTCAATGAAGTATAATTGAATATAAAGGTACACATGAAGGATAAGCCAGGTAATCTATATATTGCCAACAGTGGCGGGAGATCTTGGTTTTTTAAACGAAGGTATATAAAACATAAACAGTAAACAGGCTTCATACATTTAGGAGAGAAGTTGGTTGAAATCGTCGCTGACTTGAACCATCGGTACATGTAGATCGTCGGCACTCGGACGATTCTAAAAATAAATAAATATATTTGTAAGATTTCCTTTCTAAAATAATAAATTGCATTTATTGTTACAATTTATTTTAAATAAATAACATTTGTTAATTTATTTAAAATTTTCTTAAAAGGGGCTGTCAAAACAATTTCAAAACGGGGTCTTTAAATTTTTATCTGAACAGCAGCAATGTGAAAAATATCGTCGTCCATCTTTTTTCTCAAGCATGGAATTCTGTAAATTTTCTCAATAGTTTCTGCAGCATAGATAAAAAAGTGAGTCTTAAAGAGAAACCACAATTAGTAATGATCAGTTGTTTAAAAAATAAAAAAACCAAGGATATCTTCTAAATTTTTCTCAGATAGAGTACAGTTAGAGTACAGTTGTAATTCGGACATAATCGTCAGCAGTGCCTTTATTACCTTAGCTCCAGGTATTTCTCCGAGCTTCCATTCCCAGTCCATCTTCTGAACAGCATTTAAACTCTCAGCTTCATTATGGTGGCGTAGAACCATTTGCTCCTGGAATATCGAGTCATTTGTAAACAAATAGCACATTCAAAATTAGGTCTATTTAAAAAAAATCCCTCGTACCAAATGAAACATGACTATTTTCACGTAAAAAGTTTTCAAGACTTCAAATAGGAAATTATTTTAGAATATTTATAGATGAACTGCTGATTTTCAAAAATTGGTAGTATTACCAAAAATTTCATTTCAAAACCAAGCAAGCTGTAACTAAGATAAAGGGTNCCCCCCCCACACACTACAAGAACGGACCATTTTGGAAGGACTGAGTCACTATTTTTGAAAAGTATGCAACCTTATTTAAAATTGGTTACAAATCAAAAATCAAAAGTCAAAAGTCAAAAGTCAAAAGTCAAATAAAATCAAATTTAGGGATTGTCCAGGAGCTCCCTAACCTGACAGGGGTTTACCTTTATTTTCTCCCACTTGTCATCAACATCCTGGAGCCAGGATATAAATAATCTTCCGTTATACCTGTAACAACATAAAGTCAAATAAAGGATATAAAAGATTAAGATAAAAAATGTGCGGATACACGAATCCCCCCCCCCCGTAATCCAGCAGGTTTCCGCCTGATCAAAGCTATGAAATACGTTCAAAGATTAACATAAGTTCAAACTAAATGCTTAGAAGAATTGATTTACGCACGAGATAAGCTAGTTGAAAAGTCAGAAACAAGTGCTAGAAAGTACAAACAACTCTTCAAGATATTCCAGGACTATTAAAATTAATTTAGGAGCCCTTATTTATGACGCAACGATAGATACAGATAGAAAATAGCTGAGTAGCTAAAGTAAAAAATGATTATTGTTGTTCTAAAAAATAGTGGTCAAAGGAAAGTTTTTAAATTTATTTTTTTCCTCGCCTAAAAATAAGCAATTTCCCCCAATTTAGCGAATTTAAGGAGGGGGGGGGGGGGAAATAAAAATGTATTCACCTGCTCCTGATATCCCTGTTTTTCTCCTCCTGGTTCGGATCAATGGGAGTATAGATCTCCTTATCCCTGAATTTTAAAAGATGCAATTATGTTTATCATCAACAGACAATCCATTATCTAATCATTATTTTTTTATTATACGAAAAAAATATGTCAAAATAACTATAAAAAAAACTAAATGATAAATTCTTAATTATCATATATAAAATCTAATTTTTATAAATCTGAATCACAGCTGTTTTACCTTAGAATTGTACACACACTGTAAGGAAGGGATTGGTTCGCGAGCGCTCTTGCAGCTCTACCGTGCACGCGCAATATTTCCTACAGATTGCATAATAAATACTCCAAATCATTCAACATGAGGTTTGATTTTGTTTAAAATCTTCAGGGCACAGACAAATCTCAAAAACCGAAGTGGGTAAACTCAAATCAAAATATAGTTTTGATACAAGAAAACTTGGCTTTAAAACTTTGAAAGATCTCTTGGTTCCTTGTCAGAAACTGAAGAGTTTGATGAGAGGCTTTGCAGTGCTTCGCAGCACTGTCGGTTGCACCACCACCAGCCTATGGACCCACCCTATAGAAGCCTCTAATTTCCTTGGACTGGAAGAACTCGAAGATCCTGACCCAGGATGAAGCTACAACAACATTAAAACTTTGATTTTATGCAGAACTATTTGGCCTACCATTTCAATAACTGCATTGAGTATCAAATATGACTCAAGTAATTTAAAAGAGAAAGAAGGGGGGGGGGGGGGTAAAAGATCCGGAAAAATCACGTATATCTGCAAAATAAAAGTCTCCTGCTTATATAATAAAGTATTTAACCTGTTCTACTGCAAGGACAAGCTTTTCCTTCTCTACCAAATGCTTCATCCGAAGTTTATACCTTTCATCCTCCTGTAAAATAAATATTAAATTTTTGTTAATAAAAAAACAAGGTCATATTATACGTAAATAATTCTAATTCATGTTTTAACTGCACGCTACGGATTGCAATAAACTAAATTACGATTTTCCTTGACAAACCATTACGAAAGTTAACAATAAGTTTGGAAAAGCTGAAATTTTAGGATCTTAACTCCATTGCATGGATTAAATTCGATTGACTTGAATTTCCATAAAAAATTGATTTTTCCCGCAAATTCTCCTACCTGAGTTAGAAACAAATCTCTGAAGGGTCCCTCCAGAGACGGAGGTGGTGCAATTTTAGGTATAGGTTGGATCCTTGAATCCTTCCCTGTGTTACCCTGGAGATGGTAGGTCTTCTTGTTCATGAGGTACTCCCTGAACCCCTGGGGAGGTTTAGGTTGAACCGGAAATAGATTCTTCCGCCTCTGTTCAATTTGTTTCCGGATGTTTAGATGTTTCTCAATATCTGTCAGAGGTTCTCCGCTCGGTCGGTTCATTCCGTCGTTTCCGGAATTTGCTTCCTCGTGGTGATTGCGCATTTTCCGTTTCTTGAAATGATATTCGTTCTGTTTCCGTTCTTCCTCAACTGTCATTTCTGACGGACCTTCCTCGTCGGTATTTCCGCCTCGACTCCGAGTAACGCGGTTTCCAGTCTTATCGTCCGTGGCGGAGTTTTCTGTATCATTCGCCTTTCCGCCTTCGGAGGATTCACCATCCTCCGAATTTGCATTAACAATGTAGGAGGTTTTCTTTTTATCCTCATCCCGTCCTCCGGAGTTATTACCAGAGTTAAGAACAATCTTAAGCGGAGGAACTTTTAATCCTCCCTCTCCCTTCCCCTTCTCCCCTTCTTCGTCACTCTCTCCCCCACCATCAGGTTTAGTTTGCTTTGTTTTACCAGGACTCGGAGCTGGACTGTTATCTCCTCTTGTACTCCCAGGGGGAGATTTTCTATCACCGCCCAGCAGAGCTCCTCTGCCCCGCCCCGCCTGCTTGCCTACATTCTTCTCTGTAGAGTTTCCCCTCACTCCTCGACCCCGTCCAGCATCCTCCTTCTTCCGTTTCTTATTTCCTGTATCCTCCTCATCTTCATTCTGTCGTTTCTCTCCTTCCCCGCCCCCTGGCGAGGCACTGCCCCTGGAGGAGGTGGGCGTGGCCTCCTTACTACTAGTCTTAAACTCATAAACATCCTCTTCTCTCTGTACAGTTGAACTAGTAACCTCCTCTCCCGATGCCATTTCACCGAACAGTTGACCACGCCGGAACGCTTCTCCGGATTTAACTCCTTCTCCGTCCCGTCTCCAGTCTTCAGCTCCTTCCTCCTCCTTGTCCGGAGACACCTGGTCTAGGGTTCCTTGGAGTAGTTTAACTACTCGGGGTAGGTCAGGGTTCTGACAGGGGTTCTCAGGATTACACGCAACCTGATTTAATAAACCAAATAGAAATATCTTTCACTAAGTATTGTTGAATAACTTGCTAACATTGTTTTATATGTTACATATGACATGACCCGACCCAGTATGCATTTTTTAAACCTTACAAATAAATAGTCCAATTATCTCAAATGTTCAATCATTTATCGTAAAAATTAAGGTATGGGCATAACTAAAAGAGAAAGTTACGATAACATCACAGAAATGTTTATCCCCTCCCCCCCTCTTCCTCCGCTTTGATTTAACCTATTATAAATGAGGTCCCTGACCTATCCCAGGGGTCTGTCATAGTGAACGATTTTTGGACCCCCCCAGCCCCCCCCCGCCCCCCATCAATTTTGTACATGACCAAATTAGTATTTATTTAGCATTATTTAGGGTTAGGTTAAGACACTTTCTGGGCCGAGCGCTGCGGCTAGGATGGGCTATGGGGCCGAGCGCTGCGGCCACGGGTTAGGTTAGTTAAGACACTTTCTAGGCCGAGCGCTGCGGCCACGGGTTAGATTAAGTTGAGACACTTTCTGTAAGATCCATGTACAAAATTTATAGGAGGGGGGGGGGGGGCCAAAAATCGTGCTCTAGGATTATACCTATCCCTGAAGCGACGATTAGATCAAAAATGATTATGGCCTATACACATCAAATCGGCCAAAATATTAATTTGTTTTGATATGTATTTCAATAAAAAAGAAAGGGCGAGGATAAGTACAATAGAACGGGACCAATTTAAAAAAACACGCGAAAATATGAACTAAACATTACATAAAGGAATTTACTTTGACACTTAGTGTTCATATTCACCTGCAGGGGGGTTTTCCTATCGGAATTTAGCGCTTCTCTATCAGCTCCAGAGTTTAAAAGTAGCTTCACAACCTACCAGAGTAGTTTATATACAAACTTATATAAGATTGAACTGCAAATCTTGACGAATATTTACTAAAAAATTTAGTTTAATTTATAAATTTAGTGTACGCCAGAAATCCAAGATGGCGACGGTGAAAACCGACCCAGCCAGGTTTAAGCTTTATCCAAACAGGGTTTCCAAAAATTTTCAAAAAAAACTTTTTCCATTTTTTCTTTTAATATGGAAAATGAAAAGTTTTTCGAGTATTAAGGGTTTATTTTGGTGTTAAAGATTGAAGATAATCTAATATGATATGGGACGCTCTGTACCACACATTTTTCAGTAATTATTGAATACAAGAAAGCATTAGCAACATGGGGAAAAATCACGTAACAAAAATTGTGTTTAAAATTATTATGGCTCGACGGAGATTAAAGTAGAAAAAAAGTCAATTTAGTTGAATCTATGATTTCACCATAAATGCAAACATACTTGAAACAAAACAATAAAAATACAAAACAACAATCAAAGCTTACATGATTCAGGGGTCCATATAATTCCTTTTTCAATCCCATTTGGGATTGACAAATTTGAAAGAAATGGGGACAATTTTTTTTGTGGTCTGTCCTAGTATACGATTTTTGGATAGTGGAATTTGAAAATGTTTTTTAATTGGGGGCAAATGGGGGCACAAATGTGTAAGTGGAATTTGAAATTTTATTTTAATTGGGGGCATTTTTTTAAAAATTGTGGGCAAATGTGTTAGTGGAATTTGAAAAAATGTTTTTAATTGGGGGCGTTTTTTAAATTGTGGGCAAATGTGTTAGTGGAATTTGGAAATTTGTTTTTTAATTCGGGGCATTTTTTTAAATTGGGGGCAATGGGGGCAAATGTGTTAGTGGAATTTAAAATGTTTTTTTTTTTAATTGGGGACATTTTTTTCAAATTGGAGGCAATGGGGGCAAATGTGTTAGTGGAATTTGAAAATGTTTTTTTAATTGGGGGCATTTTTTAACAATTGGGGGCATTTTTTTTTAAAGTTGGGGGCAAAAAATTATTTTGGGATCGAGAAAATCTGCTATTTTGGGAATTATATGGACCCCTGGATTTTAGTTAAATATCTGGCAGGAAAAGTGTTTAAAATTTTAACATTTTTTCTTCATTGAATAAAATATATCCATGGTTTCATGTATTTGAATTAAGCTTAAAGAGTGGAAAGTGATTTATAAGTGGAATGATATTTCTTTAAAATTAATAAAAGCTAAGAAGGGCGATTATGAATTAATAATAGCAAACATCTTGCCATTGGTTCTACAGATAAGCTTTGTTACACTAGTATCAATCATGAAATATAAAAATAAATTTGATAACATTTTTTAAATATTTTGGTGAGTCGATGAAATTTTGTTGAAAGGTATTTGTCCTAAACTAATAAATATTTTTTGTTTGAATCTAACCTTGTAATGTCCATTCCTAGAAGCGTCATGGAGCGGGGTTTCTTTAAACATTCCAGGTATTCCAACGTTAGCTCCAGCCTTAAAAATATTTTGAATCCGATAATGTCCGTTTATTACTTTAAATTTGTTTTCTCAATGCATAAGATCTGAATCCATTGGATCCACAAGTGGCAAAATAGCAACCAAAACATTAACTATCAGACTTTTTGCTCTTAAATACACACATTTTAAGTGTATCATATCATCTTCTAATGATTGAATGATAATGAAGTTTCTACTTTTAAACTATCAAGAAAAGAAGAAGAAAATCTAAGAAGTATTTTTTTGAGGAAAAAATTAAAATATTGGGCTAGATCCATTTTATTACAAGACGAATCCGGGATCTGGACCAACATCAAAATGACATGGATCCTTAACACTGTCTTTGTTGTTACCTGGATCAGTAATCTTGCAACACTCACAATCCCTTTATTACAGGCTTCATGGAGCGGGGTCCAACCTTAAATAATTTCAGATAAAAATGTTGGATGATTTTATCAAAGAGTTTGATGAGAAGAATCCTGGATTGTTTGCCAGGGTTGATATTCCAATAGGCACTAAACTGATGAAGATTACAGGACAAGTTATAGGGTTTGAGAATGCTAAGGAGAGTGATTTATTTGCCCAGATCGAGGATGTCGAGAAAAAAGAATTTGTTGATCTCAGGAACTGTGAAATCAGAAACATCACAGATTCAGAAAGGTTTGAGTATAAAATTACTAAAAATCATTAATAAGCGGTTGGTTTGCTAATAGTTGATACATATTGTAATTTTTAATTAATTTAGGCCAACCTTTGCTGACAGCGGATACAAAACATACAAGAATATGCACATCAATCTACAAGTCTACAGGAAATCAGATTCAAACACAGCATTGGTTAAGTTGAATGATGAGATATGGTTAAGTGCAATGCAACCAATAAAAGCCAACCAGGAGCTAAGCTTGAAGTTTGGAGATGTCTACTGGCTGTATCAAGCTGGGAAGAGTGAGAATATACAGGTTCGAGTAGTTGCACAAATATACCTAGACCAGACTATCGAATCCAGCAAAGGAATTTCAACCTGGAGAACCTGGACAGTACCTGAATGTGAGGAGTATCTAGCAGGATTAAAAATTGATCAACATGGTGAGTTTGTCAAGAGTCTTCATGTAGAAGGATATAACGCCAGACTAATTCTGTACAGAATTTTGCAAGCTGTTGGATATATCCAACCCCCGTCAGGAGCAGACTATCAAAAGTTTCCGGAAACTCTGAGAACCATTGCTCACCAATCTAGAGACCTCTGCTTTTGGCCTGTTCAAATAGGTACTGCAGATCAGGGGTGTAAATTTTCTTGAAAACTTATTTACCCCCCCCCCCCCCCTCCTTTCCCTCCCTCAGTATAATAGATTAAGGGTTTCCTCACAGAATTGGGGAAAATATTAAATTTTAGTGGAAAATAAAAGTTTTTTTTATCTCAATGAAATTGGAATATTATTAGTTAAAGTGAGATCAACGTTTTTTCTTTTTTTCAGGACCGTCTTCAGAAGAGACAGAGAAGATGAGACAAAGAATGATGGATTGTATTGAGTATGGACCTAACGCAAGTTGGATACCTTTCCCTAAATCAAAACAACTCTATTTAGCAGCAAAAAATAACAACTTGGACCTCGCCAAAGAAGCAGGGAGGGATGGTAACATCAATGCTTATGGAACATGCAACCACTGGACCCCACTACATGTTGCATGTTATCATGGGTCTCTAGGTTAGTTTAATCTTTTTTATCAAGTTCTTTAAATGATTTTTTTAATATTTTAGAAGTGGTGAACTATCTTCTGAATAAAGAAGCTGTGTTCAATGCTAAAGACAAGAACGGACAACTTCCTGTTGATCTAGCAGAACAACAAGGACACCTTGATGTAGCTCAATCCATCCTTGCCACTTATACTCGGCACAGTCTGCTTGTTACTACTGTCCAAAGGTAAGATAACACTTCATAATTTTTTTTAATAAAGAACCAAAAAAATTATTACATCATTTTTTCCTGCTCTAGGTTGACCCCTGATGTTAATGAGAATACAGATGAAGAAGAACTTGTTAAGGAGAAGAAACTGAAAGGCAATGAAGCCTTTAGATCAGGAAATTATAAAGAAGCTTACAAACTTTACTCCGAAGGGTTGAAGTCCTGCCAATTGAAGAATTCGGAGAAAATAATCCTTTTATCAAATAGGTAAAATTGAAGGAACTGTACAGTGTACAGTGTACACTGTACACTGTACAGTGTACACTGTACACTGTACAGTTAACACTCAAAATTACGCCTTCAGTCATTTTCATAAAAATTTGCTCTTAAAATGTTATTAGGAATGAAAAAATAAATCTGTAATTTAGAGCTCAAGTATTGATCCAGGCTAAAGCTTACAACTTTGCTCTCCATGACATCAGAGAAGTTTTACTTCTGGACCCGACACATGAAAAGACACTTCTAAGAATGGCACATTGTTATGAAACCATCGATGCAACCAAAACTTTAGAGGTATGGTCTGAAAATCTATAAAGAGATATTTTCAAGTGACATTCCATTTAAAAAAGAGAAGCACTGCATCCTTGATACGGTTTTCTGACTAAAATTGACTTGCAGGTTTTATACAGCAGAGACAAAGAACACAATTTACAGAATTCCACACTTTTCCCATAGTTTGATCAGATAATGATTTAAAGGGTACCATTGTGACTGAGACGTGCCACTCTTTCTTGCTTACTTGAAATATTGGCATATTCCTTTTAAAAAGAATATAGTGAAGGATTTGATCTAAATTATTAAACCTAAACCCCTAGGTTCTGGACCTAATGATGTACTGCACAGTTCCTGATAAACTAGTTCATGAAAGGAGAAGATATCATTCTCTCAAGTCAATCCTAAACGTTGAAGTCAAGAATGATAGACAGGAAAAACAAAATGTTCCTGACAAAGAAATGAGCTCCTCTGAAGCAAGGTGATAATAAAATTGAATTTTAAGAAAAAACAAACATAATTTTGACATTTTTTTATGCAGAGTTTCAATTCTTGGACAGGAGTATACTCTGGAAAATATTCCGATGGAAAGCCTTTTGGAGCTGAGTTTAGAATCTCTTCTGGAATTGGATGCCAGGATTCAACAACATGAGAATTCAAGATAAATAAAGTCGTCTTGGAAAAACATGTAATTACGAGAGAATAAATATTTTTTATATTTGAGAACTTGTTACCTGCGTTATCTTGAGAGTTAGGATCCGCACCAAGTCTCAATAGTTTTCTCACCAAACCAATGTTCCCTTAAAATATTGATGATACTCATTTTAAAATATCAAATATCCCAAAAGTTTTGTCTGTCTATTCGTTTGTGTCTAATAAACGTCAAAACGAATGAACCGATTGGGTCCAAATTTTCAAAGGCAACCGTCCCACATGACCCCAAGGAAGGTTTAATGGATCGTCAAAATTAAATATTTCAACTGAAAAAAATGTTGATATTTCTATTTTTGAAATGCGGCCATTAAAATGGAAAAATCCGAAAAAATTTGAGAATGATTAAAAAGGCGACCTTCACAACTAATAGTGGAAAAATGAAAATTTCTTAGCATTTATTAGCATGCTAACAACCCCTTTTCTTAAGCAGGTTTAACCATTACTTTTAAAGATGTGTCCAATTAGATATAATTTAGAAAAGAAAAATATCTTACCTTTAATTGCAGCACAGTGCAGTGGTGTCTCTCCTCGATGATTTCTTTTACACACCTTAACAGATAAAATAAAGAATGAAAACAATAAAGTAATGAACAGAGTAGAAATCAAAGATTTTCTACACATCTGAAGAATATTTGATATATTAAAAGCTATTTATAACTTTATTTCTAACCGAAAAGTATTTAGTTGTCGATAAGAAGTAGGTTCTTTTAAAATTAATTGTAGTTCTTTCAGTTTGTTCTTTTTTTGATCTATAAATTAGAATAAAAAAGTTGAAAAGTTGAGATTTCACAGAGAAATCTAATATTAAGAATAAAATTGAAGGGGGGGTTGGGGTTGGAGTAGAAGTTTAAGGACTTTGACTAAAAGGCACTAAAAAAATTCCTTAATGTAGATTTTACCATGTTGGAGGTTCAAGTAAAAATATTTTTTTTTTTTTTTTACCTTTTTCAACACTCTCTCTTCTGCCGGTGTCCTGGGTGTCCCTGATGTAGTGGAAGGGGTTCCCTTGTTCCCTGAGAGGGGTGTCCCCTTACTGCCTGACACCGGAGTACTCCTGGAGTTTGGAGTGGAGAAAGTTCCGTTGAGGACTCCCAGGGGAGTTCTTGGAGGAGAGGTTATGCAAGGACTACATTCTGAAAATACTTAAGTGTGAGAACAAGCTGAAAATGTAACTTTTAAATTGAGATTTAGATATTTCTCACAAATATCATTTATAAAAATCTAGTGATGTTCAAAAGGGGGGTTGCCTCGGAAAAATGTTGTTTCATGGTTTTTGTAACAAAGGTTAATTCCCTTATTTTTAAATTGAATTTGATCAATCCAGATCAAAATGGAACTATATTGCATTTGTATGTTGATTTAGATCGATAATCTATATAATAAAACTAGACATTCATTTCATGTTGCCAATAGCCAGCCAAACGGCTGGACCGAATGGACTGACATTTTTTATGGACACTCATGGTTGGCCGGGAGGTGTCTAAGGCTAAAAAATATAGAATTTTTTAAAATTAAATATTTATATTTTTCCACGGTTATATATGTAAGAGATAAGAATACATCGTAAGTATTTATCCCTGTAAAGTGTAAACAGCTGATGACGTGTTTACTCTAATATTCCTACAGACTACACTCTACACAAACTTTTTGATAGGATAGCCATCTACATTTAATTATTTGAGTTTAGTTTCTTAAATTAATTTATTTGTTTTGTGCCACAAAAAAACTTATTCAAACAATAATATTTAATTTCTAAGTATTTTATTATTTCAGAAGTAAGAGATAAGAAAACGAGTTATTGCTTGTCTATGAAAATGAATCCAAGAATTATAAATATAATCTCCAGACCCTATTCTAGTATCAGGTAAGGACGAGTGTACTGCAAAATGTACTTCAAGTGTGCCATAAATATCCGATTCGTTAAACATTCTCTAGCTATTTTTTAGCTGCAAGCTAGGGGAGGAAATCTCAGCTAAATCATGGTTAAAAAATGTCGAACGAATTGAACAAAAGCAAACGTATACATGAATAACGGCGTAAAGGGATGTCAGTTCAAGTTTTCTCCATTTTTAATCCCTCTGATTCACAACAGTTCCCTTTTCCTGAGGATGACGTAGATATTCTTTTTTTTCTAGCGTAAAATTTACCAGTTTCATAAACTATAACGTTGTTTACATTAATACTCTATAGTACAGTTCACATGAGTTTTTCGACGTGTTCAGTTCACATGAGCTTTTCAGCTAGAGAAATAAGGACTTTTAGTTTTTGATGAAATGATCAGTCAAAAGTTAAAAATATCACTGTGAATCTCAAATTACACTCTATAAATGGAGTATCACTTCAAGTTAAGCCTAATTAAAAGAACTATTAAAAGATGCTTAATTAATTAAATCAAACAAAAATGACACCATACGCATCACTTTAAAGCAAATATTAAGACACTTTAAATAGATAAGACTGATTTAGAAGAAGTGCCGTTGAGGATGTTTTCATTGTTGGACATGCTAGAACACCGCTTGGGTCATTTCAGGGTCAACTTCAGGTAGTATTGTTTATATTAATAAATTAAATATTCTCTATAAAATAAACAAAATTAATTTAGAGTTTATCAGCGACAAGGTTGGGAAGCATTGCAATAGAGAACGCAATCAAAGCAACTGGGATAGATAAAAGCGCAATTGAAGAGGTAGTAACAACAAAAGAATTAGAGAAATCATATATCTATGCAAAACAATAATTACAACTTGGCCAAAACTTTTGTTTTGAATAGCTCTTAGTTTTGAAGACTAAGCTGAGAGCTGAATACACAAATTGAAGATTTAAAATTATTGCCCTTATCTGGTCATAACCTAAAATCAAACTAGGTGTATATGGGATGTGTTGTACAGTCTGGACTAGGACAAGCGCCAGCTCGTCAAGCAGCACTAGGAGCTGGTCTTTCCAACACTACACCCTGTGCTACAGTTAATAAAGTGTGTGCTAGCGCTCTCAAAGCGATTACAATGGCTACTGCTCAACTGGCAGTAGGACACAGGTACTACTTTAAAGAGAATTGATAAGGATAAATGTTTGTGCTTGCACACTCAAAGCTAGTACAATGGCGACTACTCAACTGGCAGTAGGACACAGGTACTACATTAATAAAAAGAGAATTAATAAGAATAAATGTTTGTGCTTGCACACTCAAAGCTAGTACAATGGCGACTGCTCAACAGTAGCACACAGGTAGTAGTTTCATTAAATGGAAAAGCAATAAAGAGGATAAAAAATATTTAGACATTTGGCATTTTTTGCATTTTCAGTAAAACTTAGCTTATCATAAATCCTGAAATACAATTACAAATCTAGAGCTAGTCTTAAGGTATCAAGATGGGTCTTTAAGTTCGAAACATAAACGTAGTTTCAAAAATAAAACCATTGAGAACAGAAAATATTTGAGTTACTATCCTTCTGCCCTTAACTCAAAAAAAAAACCAAAATACAAAAAAATACATCTTAAATTCAGATTTTTTTCTTTCCAGAAATGTCATGATTGCCGGAGGCATGGAAAGTCTGTCCAACAGCCCCTTCCTTCTAGAAAGAGGAAGCACACCCTACGGAGGAATAAACCTGAAGGATAGTTGCAGTTTTGATGCACTAACAGATGCATACTCAGGCTGGCATATGGGCAAGTAAGTGGAATTAAAGAGATTGTCTACATACTTTTAATCAACCTTCCATTTCAGGACTTCTATTTGAATATCCTAAAACTTAATTCAAACTATTGTTCATTGAGAGCTTTTTTTTCTGAAAAAGACTTCTGATTTCTAAAGCATAAACAAAGAAGCATAAACAAAGAAGCATAAACGAAGAAGACTTTAACTAAATTTAAAAAATCCCTTTAAATCTGATGTGCAGATGTGCAGAAAATACAGCTGAGAAATTAAACATTTCCAAAGATGATCAGGACGATTATGGCATTTTAAGTTACAGGTGACCAAAATTTTGTTAATAATAATAATAACGTTTACTGTTAAATATCTTTTAAATTTACAAAATTGTTAGAAAATAAAAAATCATGTCTACAGAAATGTACAATATTGTTACAATTAATGTTTCCTTCTATTTAGAATAGTAAAAGCATAGCATAGCTGTTTGAATGCTATATCCTGAAGTAATCAAATAATTATACGATCATGGTTCTTCTATATCCAAATAAACGTTTAAAAAAATCCCTTTAATTGTAAAAAGATTTTCAATTTTACTTTATAGCCTATATCTGGTAATTAATGAAAGTATTCAGGAGGACAGAGAAGGCGATTGAAGACGGAGTATTCCATGGAGAAATTTATCCTTTGGAAGTAAGGAAAGGAAAGATAACAACTATTGTTACAACGGATGAAGAGGTTTCCAGGTAGATCAAGATGGAAGAAAAAACGAATATCTCTATACAGTATTATTTTAGGAATGATTATGAAACTTTTCGAGAAACCAAATTGTATTGGGGTAAAACAGTTGCTGTCGGATCGTCAAGTAAACTGGCAGATGGAGCCACTGCTACTATCCTTGCTAATGAAACTGGACTCAAGTAAGATGAATAATACTGGAATTTTTTTTTTGAATTAGTACAATACTGCACATAAATATCTGTACATTACATAAGATATCAAGATAACCTTTCTAATAATAAAACTAAAACAGCACATATCTTTAATTGATCTAATTTTCTCAGTATCAACATTCAAATATTAATATCTTTAGAATGCACAATTTGAAACCTCTAGCCCGGGTTATTGCGTACTCCGATTCTGCAGTGAATCCCGTGGACTGGCCAGTGGCACCGGCAAAGGGAATACAAGATCTTCTTAATAGAGCAGGTTTAAATCAATATTTTTTTCAAGAAAAGACTGTTGACATAATTTCATGTAACATCCATGTTAATAGTGGAATTTTTTGTCCACAACAGCACTTTTAAAGTGACTAAACGGAAAAAATATCGTCGTTTTTCTCATGTTGAATTCTGACAATTTTCTGTATTTTCTCTCCAGTATAAATAAAGTATAAAGGGTATCGTTATAAATCGGACATGACACTCTAAAACGGATGTTTACATGAAAATAAGTCTACGGTCTGTCACTGTAAGATAAAAAATATTCGACTTAAAAACTATGTCTTATACTAATCTAGGGATGAAAAAGGAAGATATATCCAAGTGGGAGATCAATGAAGCGTTTGCAGTCGTAGTTTTGGCGAACGCTAGAATTCTTGATCTAAATCTTGAGGATGTAAACGTCCATGGAGGAGCAATATCAGTCGGACATCCATTCGGGTTAGAAAGAAATTAAATTTTTAAGAATGCATATTAGAATGTTTATAAGTTTTAGAAGGAAGAATTGAGAAAATCAAAATTATATCCTGAGTAAATCGGTTGTTTTTGTATTTAATATTTAATTACGGACATCTGATCACAGAATAAGATTCGTCCTAAACCTTTTTTAATACCTTATTTATACTCATAAACAGGAAACACTCCTTTTAATCCTAATATAACTAGGATGAGTGGGGGTCGGATAACCAACCATCTGGTTCACACTCTAAACTCTGGAGAGTTTGGTGTAGCTAGTCTTTGCAACGGCGGAGGAGGAGCTGGGTCAATACTTGTACAGAAACTTTGATCCATTATTATTATGATTATTGCTCTTCAGAAACTTTTATCAATTAAAATCATGATCACTGTTCTTCAGAAACTTTGATCAATACTCGCAGAGACAGTTTGATCAATTCAATATTTATCAATACTCAACCAGAAACTATGATCATTTATTTTGATCCATTCTCAGTACTCATTCGTAAAAACACTTTGATCAAATAAAGTAATGACCAATGCTATTACAGAAATGTAATCGATCATAGGTTTGATCAATATTTTAATTAATCTAATGTAATATCAATGCAACGTTACCTATTTAACCATACAATTTGTACTTTTTAATTTAAGCATTTATCTGATAAATAAACTCTAGTTTTAATAATAATATTTGTTTAAAGAAAGAAATTTAATTTTTTTGGTACATGAAAACAAACCTTTTAGGAATGATAGGAATGATGCCATAGACAGATATATGGGTTTCTTGCCATTGCCAAGTAGACAGAAATATAATTTTTCTTGCCATTGCAAGTAGAAAGACATATATTTTTTCTTGTCATTAATAATTAGGCAGATGTGTTTTTTTCTTGCCATTGTTGACAGATAAAGTTTCTTTTGCCATTGCCAAGTTGACAGATAAAGGTTTTTAAGCCATTGCCAAGTAGACAGAAATATGATTTTTCTTGCCATTGCAAAGTAGACAGATAAATGGTGTTCTTGCCATTGCAATGTAGACAGATACGGGTTTTTTCTTGCCATTGCTAAGTAGACAGAGGTGTGTTTTTTCTTCCAACTTCATTAATTTTTTTAAGTAATCATATTTTCCACCAAATAGATTCGTGTTTTGAAAACAATAAGTTTTTTTTTAAATTTCTCGGTTAATATTTTTCCACTTAAATCCCAATCCGGTCCGTAGATCGAGATCCGCATATTTTTGCGGATTCGGATCCGGGAGAAAACATGTCGCGGATCTTAAACAATTACACTTACCACTGCTAGTAGATGAAGACCCACTTTTCTCCATTTGTTTGATTAATGCCAACTGTTGACGTTCCGACATGGGAGTGTGGCAATTGGTCCCAGACCCCTAAAATAAAATAATAAAACAAATCCTGGAAACATTTAAACGCGATATTTTAAAATAAATTGAATTTTGAAGTTACTTTTCTAAAAGATTCTATGAAATTTTATATTGGTTGGGTACTATCAAAACATGTAAATAATTCTGGACTCAATGTGCGTACAATGTCAGTGTTCTGTTTAAAAACGTTTTATCGTAATTTTAAGTGACCCATCATTTAAAGAGGAAAATGGCCAATTTACAATGGTACCATTGAAGCCTAACTCTAATAAAAAATGTGGATGATAACGTTGTTTTTCTAGCTGGATAAGTGATAAATTTAATTAATTTCTCCATTGTAAGAAATTCGCAAGTCTTTGTAAAGAACCGAACTAATAAAAACAATCAGTTTTCTAAATACATAACTAATTCACACTTAATCAGACAAGTTTGAAGGGTACTGTTGTGAATCGTAAATACCACTCTAGCAAGGATCTCTAGAGATTAAGTTCCAGTCCCTTTTGGGAAGGTTGAATTTTATGTTTATTTGAAAGAATATGTAATAAAAATACATTAAAGGGACTTTTCACTTAATGTTAAGTTGACCCTCCATGTAAGAAGTTGCATGCCTACTCACAACCTTTATCTGGGCCACAAAAAGGAAGATATAATTTATATCTGGAAACGTGCCTAAGACCTATATATGAGCAACAAAAAGGCAGATATAATTTATATCTGGGAACCAGTGCTTAGGATCCATTTAATTTTGATGCGGATCCGGACTGGAAAAAGAGGATCCAGATCCAGGTCATTTCTTTAAGATTTACTGAATTTTTTAACAAAAAATAATTTTCAAATTTTTGTTTTATTATTTTCGCTTATTTTAATCCTAAAACATAATGAATCATTCAGAAATGAGGATTTTTTTTATAATCTCTCTTTTTTCAAAAGTTCAGATTTATGAGTAAAAAAGTTTTTTTTGCAGTTTTTGGTTGATATTTTTGCGGATCCGGGAACCCAAAATCTTGCGGATCCGGATAAACCTATATCTGGGCAACAAAAAGGAAAATATAATTTAAATCTGGAAACTTACATTCTCGCAATTTCATTCTTAGTTTCTGCTCCAAAAATTCGCAAGAAAATTTGAATAGAGAAACCACAATAAAAAACCATCAAATAAATCAATGATATCTTGATTAATATTTGCTTAAACGAAGGGTTGTTTGGTGAAGCGGGTATGCCGTCACTCTAGGAATGGAAGAGTGTACTTGTACAAACTAGACCGAGTGCTTTACACTTAAATAAGCATTGTTTTATTGAGGATTCCAAAGGAGTCCGAAAATGTTTCGCCCATTTCAGAACTTCATTACAATTTGAATAATATTACCTTAGAACCAACAACAGTTGGTGATTGAGCCATGTTTTGTACTTTAAGTTTCAATAATGCCCAGTCTAGGTTTCAGAGATCAAAAATTATTATACATTTTCTCTGAAAAAAACAAAGTACAAAATACATTTTTAAATACACTTCTATACCACAGATGTGCGACGAGTGAGAAACACAAGCGTGTCAAAATTTTGTATTTAAGTGAATCCAGGGTCTTGCTTGAACAAAATAATTACATTTTCCGAATTAATGATATTTATCTTCTGTAAGTTGGGCGAAATTGAATAATGATAGATGGTTAGAATCCGAGTTGTTTATTCAGGAGATTTGGATTTATTGAGTCCAGGGTTGGATTGGAAAAGCTGTGATCAATCAGTATCCGGATTGGATAGTAAGAATCCGGATTGGATAATCAAAACCCAGCTTGGATTCTTAATTCTTTTTGTTAATTTGTCAGAATCCGGGTTGGATTCTCAAAATGCTGATTGGATACTAAAAATTCCGGATTGAACAAATAGACTGGGATTCTAGGGTTACGAATCTGATTTATCAAAAAGCCTGGTTTGATATTTCGGATCCAGGTTGACTCCAGGATCTAACCAGAGCAGCCTCTACACCCGCAGTGTATACACTCCACTATCCTCCCCTCCTCTAGTTTAGTTTTAGGAACACGACAGATACAGTTCGTGGCGAAGTTCGTATCACGAGTCTAAAAAAATTAAATTTTTCGTGAAAATTTTATCAAATTTATATAGTGTTAAAACCTAAAAAGTTCTTTTTAATCGGTCGCTTATCAATTCATGTGGGGTAAACTTCAATGGATTATGTAAACAAGAAGTGTATAACAAGATAGTTTTTTTTCGTCAAAAAAAGGTTGATTCTTTTAGACATGGATGGAGTGGTTGAAAATCTTTTTAAATGTTGTAAATTTTGAGCGACGCAGAATTTTTTGTTATCCAAGCCTTCCGACCCTGCGGCTAATTTTCAATTGTTGTTAAAATAGTATTTTATTAAAAAAAATGAAGCTGATAAAGGAAATTTTACAATTATTTATCATTATGTTTATTATTAGCAGATAACCCATCATTCAATGAAATAGGCATTAAGTATCTCAGTGAACTGGGATTATACCTGGATACATCGTAGGCAACACAGGTTTTCATATCCTTGCTTCTTCCATTTAGCGATCAGGTTTTGGTCAGCGATCTTCTCCCTAGATTAGGTAAATTAGCGATCTTCTCCCTAGATTAGGTAAATTAGCGATCTTCTCCCTAGATTAGGTAAATTAGCGATCTTCTCCCTAGATTAGGTAAATTTGCGATCCATTAATCGTTCAGAGCTGAGAAAACTTAAGATTTGTGGATATTGAGATCAATGCGTGATCTCCTCTTTTTGTTAGTCTTCAAATTATTATAATCTGTATCCACTAAAGTGCCTAAAATACCAATCAGTGTGTGCCAAAAAAGAGGATTAAGAAATTCATAAGTTTCAACTTTGGATATTTTGATTTTAAGCGATCTGGATTAAGGGTATCCAATTCTAAAGTTTTCAGCTCAGGATATTTAATCCATGGGTTAATTCCTGATGATGATAACCACGTCGCGCAAAACGAAAAAATTTTAGATCTACGCGATGAAATTTCAAAATGACAACTCATTTTTAAATTTTTAAATACATTTTTGTTGACTTTTCTTGTGAGAAACCTACTTGATGCAATAATCATAGAGTTCTCTGGAGATAGCTTTCCGTCTGTAGAAGAGGTCGAAGATGTATCTAGATTTCTGATGATGGATTTTAAATATCGGCCACAGGGTTTCAGTCTTTCTCTTACCCTCGTGACCATCTGTCTCAGCTTCCCGCATTTTACCTTCCAGCTCCTGAACATATGTATTTTAATCGATACAGTCCCGGGGCTTAATTTCATCTTGATGCGGATCTGAATCCTGAATCCGCCCGGATAAAATAGATTCGGATTTAAAACCAGATCCGGGTCCTGAACATTTCAAGATCTAATGATTTTAAGACTAAAGTTCAAAAAAAAATTTTTCTGCTAATTTCTTATTAAGAAATTGGGAAGTTCTTAGTAATCTTTTGTTAGTGTAAACATTAGAGATTTGTGTTAGGATTGGTTGACATTTGACATTTTCCCTCCTGGAGCCGGATCCGTATACAGGAAGCAAAAATGTTGCAGATCCAACGGATCCAGATTCAGAGAACTGCACAATTCTAAAATCTATTGGAACATTCTTTAATCTTAGAACTTTATTTAGATGGCGTTTAGTTTATTTTGTGGGAGAAAATGATTTACATATCAATACCTTGTACCATAACTTGTATCGGGGGTTCACCCCGTTACACACTTTAAGGAACATTTGAGTAAATATTTTATTTCTTAAGCAATCATTTTTGATGTATTACTAAATTAGCATGATCATTATCTTGTTATAAACTTATTATGTTATCTTGTTTTCATGGTTGTAATCATTAAATTATCATTACTATTTTGAAGGACAGAGATTACATGATTTTTTTGTCCATACCTAGCACATATATTCAGCCTGCTTATAAACACTCTAATCAATTTTTAAGACAGGGTAGACTTTGAAGTGTCGCAGCGTCTTGGACTTCGATTTTACCGCTCGAGCTCACTTATTCTTTTCTATAGCTCTTTACATGCACATTTTAGCACTGTAAAGCACTTCTTGTTACCTTGAAACTCTTATTGATTTCTGCTTGTGAGCGTGAGAGCTTTAAATCACAGTGACCTCAGTAAAATAAAAGCCGAAAAAAGTTATTTATAATTTTACTGTCCTTTAAACTTTAAAGTTAATACCTCTAGTGTTGGTTCGATGAGTTCCCATCCTTCTGGGGGAGGTTTTCTGCTTCTACGGATCTTAGGCATTCTGTATATCTGGATGTACTCTGAAATAATAAACAATAACCAAATAGTGCTTAACAACGTTGTTCATTACATTATCAAGTTCTCAAACGTACTTATTGTTTGCCTCCATTTTCGTTGGCTACCAATACCAGAATTCGTTGAATTACCTCTCTTTAACAATTAATTCATATCTTTTGCTAAAATTTGAACACTTTCAATCGCTAACATTGCCTGACAATTCATTTCGGTCTCGCTTCATTCTCACTAAATACATAGTTGTACATTAATGCAATTCAGAACTGAATAATTGTTCATGGAAAATAACACAGATTTCATATCACAGGATAAACGAGACAAACTTGAAACTTTTTAATATCAATTACGCTGCGGCTGCAGCCCGGGGGTTTTCTGGGGTCGCTTCTCCTTGTGTTTCTTGTTCTAATACTGAGGTCGGAGCCAGAGCCGGATCCGGAGCCGGAATAAGTTTATTCAAGAATTCTTTCTTCTTCTCCAAGTATATTTCTTCTAGGTTTGTAGAATTCAATCCTCTTTTACAAACATCCTGAATAAAATCAAAATAAAAGCAATACATTTATTATCATTTTGACTGATTTTTTTGTCTTCCCTCCTTTCTTTGAATTCAACGGTACACAACGTTTCTAAGGAACTGTCCTCGTAATTATAGAGGAACATCGCCGATAACAACGGCAACCTTAAAACTTTAATCTGATCAATAATGTGGAAGATCTCGACGTTGTTCTTGGTTAAAGTCTTTTAAAAATCATTTCTCCATTGTTTATGAAGCAAGATATACGAAAGTCACTTTTGAAGAGAAAACGCAAATGAAAATAAACAGTTTTCAAAAATAAAAACATGGATTTCTAATAAATAATTAACCAAATTAAGGGTACCGTTGTGAATCAGATATGCCACTTTATTTTCAAAAGAGGAAATTACTTTCATAGTCCTTTAAATATGTTTTTTCTTCTACCTAGTTCAAAAATGACCCCCTAGCTCTACCTTGTAAATTTCTAGAAAATATTAATCCATGTTTAATGTTTATCGTAAGATAAAAATATAATTGATCCTTCCATTTTACCTTCCAATCCCTCTCAAGGTTTCCTAGACTCCAGGGTGAGGAAAGACGACGCTTCCAGAAGAATTCTTGGAAAACTTTGTAATTATTGAGACGACAACCCTCGGCGACACATAACCGGCCTACACCGGACAAATCTATAAGCAGCGGTCAGTTTAACAAGTTTTAAGATAACCAGTTTAGTTTAAAAATGAATATCTGACACAAAGATTGAGAGGATTCCATAAACAATGGTGAAGATATTGAAACTGACAATGTTTCCTAAATCTGGATGGAATCGTACTCCGACATGTTTTTCAATTTCATTCATCTCTACCTCGAAATCTGCCAAATGCACATCCTGAATTGAAAATGGATGAAAGAATGGATCAAAGGATGAAAGGATGAAAGAATGAAAGGATGAAAGGATGAAAGGATGAAAGGATGAAAGAATGAAAGAATGAGAGAATGAAAGAATAAAAGAATAAAAGAATGAAAGAATGACAGAATGAAAGAATGAAAGAATGAAAGAATGAAAGAATGAAAGAATGAAAGAATGAAAGAATGAAAGAATGAAAGAATGAAAGAATGAAAGAATGATATGAAAGGATGAAAGGATGAAAGGATGAAAGGATGAAAGGACGAATGAATGAATGGTAAATGAAATAATGAATGTATCAATGGTTTAATATATCTAAGAATCAAGCGACGAAACGACCAATCAGCAGATCAACCAACCAACTAATTATCCAGCCAAAAGAGCTGAGAGCAAACCAATCAACTGATCATTCAATCAGCAGTTTAACTAACCAAGCAACTGACAAATAAGCCAGCCAACAGAACTTAGTGCCAACATATATAATCATGCATCAAACCAATAAACATTTTCTTTAATTTATGCATTAAATCTGAACTTAAACCAACTATCAAATCAAATCAAATCAAATCAAATCAAATCGAATCGAATCGAATCAAATCATTCAAAAAAAAAAATGTATTCCACCCACCCACCAACTGCTTCCTAATAATTAAATCGAACAACTTAATCATACAATGAACCTTTGAACCAAAAATTTAAATTTTAATCTCAACTCTTCATTTCAAATCATACAATGAGATAACGTTAAGTCTCCTTTAAACAGGTTGAAGGTTTAACTCCGGGTTTTATCTAACTAATCAACGGAAATGAATTCAAGGAATTACCTGAACCGGTTTGTTCGGGATAATGAAAGATCCAAGAAGAGGTTTCTCTAGTTGAGGATCTTCTATCAGAATTATCTGAAAAAAATTTAATTACACTTTGTTTATAACATCTAATTAGATTACAGTAAAATTTTGTGTTCCATTTGTCGTCGCCTTTTTTTTAATAATTAAAAAAAATCGATTCTCAAAACGTACCCACCCAAATTCAAGATTTTGAACGTCGACGTTGCGCTCAAACTCAGTAATTATACATCATGGAAACGTTTTATATGCCTCAAATGATTCCTGAATTTTTTCCCCACAAACCTAAATTTTTAGTTCAACTACCATACATTGCCGGTCACTCCCTTTCAAGGTGCTGTGGTTGGTGGTTTAAATAAACTTCCAAAAAGAGAGGTGCATGCTTAATTTACAACGGTACCCTTAAAACCTTATCTGATAACGCGCCAGTCAATTTTGCAGAGAGAGCTTGTGGGGTGGCGTGGAGAGTGTGTGACACCAGTTCTCGTTAGATCACTGAAGTTAAGCACACTTGTCCACAGCCAGTAACTGGATTGGTGTCCAGACTGGTGTTCACGGGTTCGATTCCCGTACTCCACACAAACCTGTGGTTTCAAAAACATCTGAAGCCGACATCTGGTTTAGCAGTTATGACCACCTAACGGATGTAGGAGGACAGAGGGGCGGCTGTCAACAACTCTCGCAGCGAAAGGGTGCGTGCTTTCTACTCAACAAGAAAGAAGCTTCAAGTGGGATTAATCCAAGTGAATGACGATGAAGAGAGGAATGGTGGACAAGCAGGGAGAGTCTTTGGTTGCCAGCTATAGGTACCTGGGGGTATCCAATCCGGGCTTACAGATGTTAGGGAGCAATGAGTGTGATGTTTCCTATCAGTACGGCACCCGGGCCTCATTCCAGTATATCAGAAGGATTCCTGCACTCTATATTCTCAGGCCTAAGAAGAATCTTAGGCAGCTGGAATCTTGTCAACCCTCTTCTCAGAATGAATGAAGCGTGGATGGATGAATGTGCTGCCAGATTACAACCCCTGGTAGATCAATATAAAAACCCAGACAACACCAAACTTTCGCAATAGAAAAAAATCCGAGATTTGATCGTAACAACCCGATCATGTCCTGGGGACAAAAAAATCTTTTTTAAAAAATTTTGCAGAGTCACCGCCCACCACAATAGAAAATAACCAGATTTTAAAAAGAGAAGTTCATGTAGTTTATACTTTTATCAGACAAAGCTTTTAATTGTATCGTTAAATCGTTGTTTCTTTAAATGGAAATCCACTTACAATTACGCTTACAGCTCCATTAATATAAGTCGCGGCGGCATGACTTGTAGATTCGTTAGGAGGTCAATTGTTGAAATTTATGTATACTCAAATCATGCTTTTCAGACAGCAGTGCTATAAACTTACTATGAAGTAATCATTGTGCTATTATGGATGTCTTAAAATTTTTTTTTAAGCGATCTAAATTTTTATATTTTTATTTGTTATATTAAAAGCTTCAACGTTCTCGATACAGAATAATATTCCGTCCAAAAACTAAAAAGCACTGAGAACCAAAATAATAATGTTTTAAATAGTTATTAATTGTGAACTCTTAACCTTAAAAAGATGTGTTGGAACGGCAACATTGTTTTCTCCAATTACTTCATATTTTACAAATTTCTTCGGCCGTCTAGGTGGCCGATTATTGGGCGGGGTTTTTACGGGTGGAACTGCTTCCGGTAGAGTTTCTGTTGTTGCTTCAGTATTCCCCGGATTGTTAACATTTATCAATTGTTGAGATTTAGACTCCAATACAATGGATAATATTCTTTTATCTTCCTGATCTTCAGTCTCAGGCAACCATAGTGGACCTGTAACAGGAGAACTCTAGTTAAATCATAATATTCTTGAACCAAGAGATATGTACATTGCATGGTGGTGTATTTTTCGACCTACGCAAATCCGCTATACTTCACTTTTGACCTACGACAAATCCGCTATACTACACATCCGACCTACTAGCACATGGTTTTACAGCTGCTAAATGGACTTGTGGCCGCAGTGCCCGGCCCCCTAGCCTGTCCTAGCCTCGGCGCTCGGCCCCCTAGCCTGTCCTAGCCACAGCGCTCGGCCCAGTAATTGTCTTAACCTAACCTAACCCTCAAATAATACAAAAATAAACAGCTGGCGTAGTAGGTCAGAAGTTCAGTAGGGGGGATGTTGCGTATAGACATTGTTACATTACCCATTGCATTGTTATGAATCTGACATATCCCTCTTTTAAAATGGAGGGCCACATTACATGGACAGAATTTAAAATGATAATGATCTTTGTAAAGTATTAAAAGTTTTCCTTCGCTATTGCCCAACTTCTAATTTTTCGATTTTTTAAGTGTAAACAATATATTTGGGGTAATTTTCCATAAATCTTGATTCTCCTCTTGATTTTAGTTAGTCTCGGGAGATAACATCTGAACATCTGGATTTATTTACCTGAGATAATATCTGAATCTAGTTACCTGAGATAATATCTGAATCTAGTTACCTGAGATAATATCTGAAACTAGTTACCTGAGATAATATCTGTATCTAGTTACCTGAGATAATATAAACATCTGAATAAAGTTTAGTAAGTTCCCTGCAATAAATCTCAAGACGGTTCCAGTAATTACCATTGTTGTCCAAATCCTGACAAAAACAAACATATTTTTCACCCTGCTGACATATGGTAAAGCTGTAAAAATCTAATTAATTATTTCTCATTTAAAAATAAACATATTTACTCGAGGAGGACGAGGGTTAAAAATTGTCAATAGAAAGGAAAATTATTTAATGTATATGGTGATAAATCGCAAAGCTTACACCATGTCAAATTAAATTTTTTTTGGTGAAAATCAGGGCACTGATAAAAATAAAAATACCTGTGGTACAATATTAGTTAAATAAAATGTTTGATTCATGGCTTCTTGAGAATGTTTATTATTGCCAGCTGGAGCCATGTGACCTCTAGACCAACCAGAACCCCAGAAATCTGAACAATATCATTTCAAGACAATTTAGAACCACGGGTACATTATTTGTTGAAAAATCACCTCCCCTCCCGCAATATCAATAATTTTTACCAACTAGGAAATAATCAGAATTTATTAGAGGTATGCATGAAAAGGTTAATTCTTATACCCACAAATCTTGGAAAATCATTATCTTCCCNCCCCCCCCCGTATAATTCTAAAAACAACCCTGCTCGGAACCCCAGAAATTTGAAAGAACTATTTAGAAGAAAAGTTTTTATTTATTACCTTTATTTTGTGAAGTGTAAAGAACTGGTATAGTAGGATCAGGATCAAACCTGGCCAGTTTACGGTTTGCTATATCCCCAAATGCTTTGCTCTGACTAACATGCTCCGCAACCCACTAGGAAGAAAAAATAATAATTTCTTCTATGTTTGGTTCGTCTGTTGGTTTGTTTGTATCCAACGTTTTTTTTGAAAACTTACTAATTCAGGCGACGTTCAAAAAATATGCCTAACAAAATTTTTTTATATTTTTTTTAAATCTGCGAAGAAGAAAGGCTTGCAGATAGATCTATAACAAAAAGCTTTGATTAATATTAGGAAGAGAAGCGCGAAGCGGTCATAAAGTATAGTAATTAAAAAACTAACTAATAGTTCTGTTTTATTACCTTCGGCACTCTTCGAACTGGATCAAACTCCAATACATGATTATCATACTGCAGAATAGTTTGGAACCCTGAGCTGGGAACACCGTACTTTAAACTAGTATGGAGTTGGGGATCTGATCTTGGAGAGGGCGTGGACACCGGAGGTGCGGGAACAGAGGTCGTGGTCAGAGGAGGGGCAGGGATAGATGGCGAAGCCAAAGGAGGGGCGGATACAGATGGCGTGGCCAAAGGAGGGGCGGATACAGAAGGTGTGGACAACGGAGGGGCGTGATCAGAGGGCGTAAAGATAGGAGTAGAAATCTTCTAAAGCAGAGAGAAAAACATTAGGAAAATAATAGAGATTTCGTAAACCAAGAAAGTGCTCTAAAGTTTTGCCCAGACTCAAGGGGTTCAGGAATACATGTTAGTTCTATTGTACAGTTGAGCATTTTTGTTAATTTAGATATCAACTCAATATAAATACAAGAATCATTACAATGTTTGTACTTTTTTGAAATTTTAGCTCTTGCTTTAATAGGATAAAAAAACACAATAACACTATCGAGGTCAGCTCAAACATTGAAAATAAGGATCATTTCACGTTTCTACTTTTTGTAATTTCATTAAGATCAAAGAACAGCAAAAGAACACAGTTGCCCCCCCCCTGAAACAGGGATATTTAGAGATATATGGAGAGAAACATGGATATTTATAGATATATAGAGAGAGAAACATGGATACTTAGAGATATATAGAGAGTAACAGGGATATTTAGAGATATACATCGGGAGAAATAGGGATATTTAGAGATAAAAGGAAAACAGGTATATTTAGAGAGATGAAAGGGATTAAAAGTTAGATAAAGTGTGTATGTTCAATTTACATGTGTCAGAGGAACCAGAGGATAGAATGACACAAATCAGCTGTCCCCCCCCCCCCTCCAGAATCAGCACAGCAGTGGCTCTAACCCCACAACAGAACTGGTAGCCTTGAAATGAGATATTACCGAAATTGGCGTAGAACAAAAAACTACAATATCACTCAGATAAAGGAAGGAGTATTAAAAGGACTAAAATTGTCACCTTTGTCTCCTCTGTATAGGCAGAATCCGGGAGAATATATCTGGAGAGCAGAACGCCCCCTGCCCCTCCCACTCCACCCAGCAGAAGTGTTCTCAATCCATGAACCGACATTTTAAATCATCTAACAAATAACAAATTTAACCAAAGTAATTTTACGTCTAAAATTACGAAAATAGGACTAGTTCGTGTGATTGCTCGAGAATTTAGATACATATATTTAAAGTTACGAGTATTTTGAATACATTTTTAAAAAATACTAATAAATTTCAAAATCAATAAGCTCCTAAAAATGTAACATGTACTTAAAAAATAGATACATTTTAAAAAACAACACTAACAATTACAAAACATTAGTTATGTCAATCACAGTAAAAATGTGGTCAAATCAATCATTTAAGACTAGACAAAGTTAAAAAACCGGTCTCATTAAATGCATATAATCAAGAAAATTTGGCCTAATTAACTAACATAATACAACAATGTTAAAATAATAATTATTTAATAATCAAAAATAAAGTGATCTTTATAGCTGCCCCCAAGCTATGAGAGTTTAGTCCCTCCTTGATTTCCTCGTCTTTCTCCCAGTCTCTCCTCCAGCTACGACGGTCAACTTGGGCCAGAATGCGTTAGTCATAGTTTCTCCTAGAACATCACAATATATTATGAATGGCCGTCAAATGTTTAATAAAAGGCGACGGGGTAATTGCAGATGGTAAGNAGGGGCAAGAGGTCCACCCTGTTCTGCAATTTAGCGATTCTTGAATTCCTGGGAAAAGGGAAAGAGGGTTTATTAAGTATTTTTAGATATTTTCACTATCAGTTCTGCCATTTATTATGATATTGCTTTAATACTGTAGTACAACAATTAAATTAATCCTACATGTTCCCCGCAAATACTGTGTGACGTGTCATATTAAAAAAAAAGTTTTCATGTAATATCACGATTTTTTAATGAAAGACATTTCTTGTCATGTATGTAAATTGTAAATTAATTAATATAGTGATGTATATAACCAGAATAGACTTATTTTTTATTTCATATCAGATTTGTTGACTTACTGATAAACGGTTGGTAAGGTTTTTTTTTTTTTTTTTTTTTAGTTTAATACATATTTTTCTTGCGCCCCTCCTCCTAAAAATGTTTAGGGGGGGGGGGCAAAAAATGGAATAACCCTTCCCTTGGAAAAAAAGGTAAGCCACCACAGACAAATTCCTGTATATACACCCCTGAAACTAATATGAAGAGAATTCCGTAAATGTACACAAGTAACTATATTCCAAATATCAATTCAGTTTCAAATTTGCCAAAAACCCATTCCTTTTTACGTTGCAATAATAATTCTTCTTCCCCAACTGTATTCCCTATATATTTCCTACCTAAAAAGTAGAAGACGGCTCCTAAAGCACAGCAGAATATCATGAATATGGGTCGGGCTGAAGGAGAAAGAACCTAGAAAAATATTACGGATAAAGTTGGCGGAATCAGTAACATCGCTGATTATCTATATAGTAAAGCGCTTTGCTCATAAATCTATATTTATTTGATATCTAGAGCTGGTCAAACGACTGGACCAATTTGGCTGAATTTTATAAAAGTTAACCATGGGTACCCTGGAGGTGGCATAGGGAAAAAAATCCTTTCAAATTTGAAGTTATTTTCTTTGAAATGTTTTATGCTACGGGCAACGCCGGCACTTCAGTTAGTTGATAATAATTGTGTACCTTTTAATCAAATTATCTTTATAAATATTTGGTTATTGACTTCATCAAATTAAGAACAGTCAGAATTCTGATATTATGACCCTCTTAATAAAATAAAAGCCTTTTGACAAAATTTGAGAGGACCAATAAAACTGAGAAATGGAAGACGACATTTATGCAATCATTCGAGAATTTGATGTTTTAAAAAGCAAATATTTTTACCAGAGCTGAGGCTTAAATATCAACTAAAAGAAGTTACAGGGTACACTGTCCACTGTACAGTGTTCAGTTGTCCACTGCTGTTGTTCAAGGGACTATAATTAGTATCTAAGGGGCTTCTTCCTATTCCACATTGTTATGGGTCTAACTGTATTCAGTTAATTACCTTAAAGACCGGATAAACCCAGAATCCAGCCTTGTAGTAGATAACATTTAACCAGACAAGGTATCCCATTGTCAGGGCTGCAGTTATACTCATACCAACCTTTCTACTCGGATACTCATGTCTAAATTCAGTTTTAAATTAATCGTAGTAGAATAATGTAAATTAATGTAAAATAATGTAAAATTAATATAAAAATAATGTATATATTAACCGTATTAGAGCAATGTAAATAAATGTAAAATTAATATAAAAATAATGTAAAAATAATGTATAACTGTTTTAGAACTGTAAATATGTTTTAAATGATAAAAAGTCTAGCCGATACTTTTTTAATATGGTTTATAAATGCTGAATAGTCTAGTCACTTGTCTTATGCATCAACACTTAAAGTTAAGTCTTGTGGACATAGAGAATAGAATATATATAGAGGAATTAAAAGAATCTCTCGGTATGCATTTTTTTCAGTACCTTTCAGCCTGAAAGGGAGTTCAAAGTGTACAAATCATGTAAATGTTCACAAATTATATGCAGTAGAGTACATTAATTCAGTATGTTCCCTAGACTATCCATTTCAATTTCGAATTTTTTAAAGCTGTTAAATAAACTTTATAATGAATTAGGTGAATAAAAACATCATTTGATTTATAGTTATAACGGAATATCATCGTTTGTAAAGTGGAAGGCATAGAGTCTATGTGAAATGATCATTGGTCAATTATGAAACCAGCCTATTTCATAATTTGGTTTTCTTTTAACAATAATTTTAGATTTTCTATAAAATGATATTCCAGGGCCCAACAGGTTATATAGCATAAATATGTGAAGTACACCTGCAGTATGGAAACAGTACAAAATGGCCGTTTTACACTTTTTTCCAGTAAATTCCTCTCTATATATTCTATTCTCTATGCTTGTGGAGCTTCTTTATTGAAATTTAAGACTTCTTTATCCTAGAACAGACGCAAATTTGACGGAGGGGCAAATTAAATTAAGTATTACGTGACCAATTTATAATTCATCTGTGTCCTTGAAAGCTCTATCTGAGTAGGAAAATATTGTCATTTTCTTTTTAAAAAGATAGAACATTCCCTTACTTCACAATTAGAAGTTTATAATTTTGGTAAGAACAAGGATATTTCATTTATCCCTGACTAGAAAAATGTTTAAATGGTACCGTTGTAAATCTGACATAATACAAACTATGGGTCCCACTCCATTATAATTAGGTCTACAATCTCAATAAATTGCGAGGAAATGATGGGTCTAACCTGCATAAATAAAGCTCTCCTAGTTGAAGTGGAAGCACAGTCGTGTGCATGAAATGGTTCAGCCAGGCAGGGAAAAATCCATCAAATCTAAATAATTCAAGATGATTTTTGATTATAGAATATGAAATTAGTTTTATTATTTTCTACGCACCTTACAGAAAATATAAGTTCTCTGTCTATTGCCCAAAGACTCCAAAAGATGACTCCAACAAAGATTCCGATGGGAAATGCAGCAGAAGCAAAGACGATATCTCTGAGTTTACAAATCCTCGAGTTTTCAGCGGAAAAATCCGCGAAAATACAGTTGGTGAAGAAGAGAAACTGAAGACACATGTTTAGGAAGGTTAGATATTTGAAATGTCCGCCAAACTTCTCTCTAGTCGGAGATATATCTTCAGGAAGATCAAGGATAAATATATCATAGTAGATTGCAACAAGGAAGCTAGAGCTACCACAAATATGAAGCAGTCTCGTCAATAAACTCATTTTTCTGAAAAAATTACACGATTTGTTAATTATTTAAAACCAGTAGTAAGTTGACATTTTACAAGAAGCACAATTTAAATAGACAAACGATTAGATAATAATTTTTCTAAGGCTTAAATAAAATTTAATTTCAAACTGAATATTGAGTATTTGTAGTTTTTTTTAAACATCAAGTACACTAAACAAATATTTATCAAAAATGTTTATCATATTATTATTGTTATATGTTTTATTGAGTTGGTTTTATACAGCAATCCTTAAATCTAAACATAAAATTTCCATTCATAGAAAGTCTTTTCCAAATATTTTCATGAGAAAAGTTGAAAAAAAAAGAATCCCCTCAAGGTAGATAGATGACTAAGAATAACTAATAGTCATTTTACTACTCACACTTTATTTATACTTTCCGACCTAGATTCAATAGGATAAAAGAACCATATTAGAGCACAGCTGATATTTAGAGATGAAAAGAGAGAAACATGGATATTTAGAGATATATAGAGAAAAACAGGGATATTTAGAGATATATTTTAGAAACAGGGATATTTAGATATATTTAAGAAACAGGGATATTTAGAGATATACAGAGAGAAACAGGGATATTTAGAGATATATAGAGAAAAACAGGGATATTTATAGATATGTAGAGAGAAACAGGGATATTTAGAGATATATAGAGATTTTATAAACAGAAATAAAAACCAGGTTTTGTCACAATAATTCATTCATCCATAATCAAAAGTTTCTACCAAGGGTTAAAATAAGAAGCACTAAAATTCCTGTTTTAAAGCAATAAGAAACATTTAAGGGAAACTAATCTTAAAATCAACAATCATCCTGTTCATCATACACTGGGTATTCATATAGAACCATTCTTTAACGCTCTTCTGCGCCCGTCCATCCTCTAGTACGCCAGTGCGGCCTCGGATGCGAAGTATCTCACGTCAAAATCAGAATCGTTGTTGAGTTTCTCCAGACAAGGTTTAACCTGTCCTTGCGTAGTAGAGCTGGGTAGAACAGCAATAATATGATGCAGGGTCTTCGCAACATTAAACCTAAAATATTCAAGATAAAATTGAATACTTAAATTTGACTCCCCCCCACACACATTTGACTGCTTCCTACAACCGACCAACGAACATAAAAATACGTTACTGGAGAGTGGAGACATATTTACGAGTTTAGGTAGAGTAAAGTACACCTTCATAATAATTTTCGGCTTATTCATTCTTTATGTTAGATCAAAGCCCCTCACAACTTAATAAAACAACTTGGTTGAATTTAGTCAACTAATTCATTAACAGATAGTAAATAAGAACAAGTGTTGACAAGCGTTTTTTTCCAATTTAAGGTAAGGGATTTATTAAAGTTTTCAACAAAGGGTTCTATGTGCACAATCATGTTTGTAGTACAAGCGACTGTAATAATCTGTGCACGTACAAAACAATATATCTTTTAACACCAAATAAAGAAAACACTATGCAGCATAGAAAAAAAGTTTATTAAGACACTATAAAAGACAACCCGGCTGTATGAACATTTCATTTAATAAGTTTGTTAATAAATTAAAAGATATGATAGTTCAAATAAGCTGACTAAAAATCTAAAAATAAAATTCCAAATATATCCAATACCCTTTGGAATTACGATTTTATCTCTAAAAATATTAAAACACTTTCAATATTTGTTCAATGCCAAATATAAGACAATAATATTATAAATAAATTAATAAAAATAACTAAAAATAATAATATTTCGGACTTAATACGTTACAAAATATTCAGTGTTTGATGATTAACCGGGCAAAGTCAAAGGAAAAGAAGACGACCTGAATAGATTTGATTAAAAGGTACAAAATTAAATAATATTGGCAGCCACATTTCTAGAATTCTTCAGTGATAGGAAGGTTGGCGATAAATGTCCCCCCCCCCCCATATTCACCTGACGTTAGCAACACTATCTCCAGCCATTGCTAGAACAGTTGGGAGAAGAAGACGTTCAGTTATATCAGCTCCGCAAACCTCTCCAAGTACATCTAGTTCAACCACGCAAACATTCAACATTTGCACAGTTTGGCAATAATCAAATTCCATCCCCCGATATAGATAGATTAATTCTTCAAATTCAATCCCCCGATATAGATAGATTAATTCTTCAAATTCAATCTCCCGATATAGATAAATTAATTCTTCAAATTCAATTCCCCGATATAGATAGATTAATTCTTCAAATTCCATCTCCCGACAATCGACTCTGACAAAAAAAAAATTAAGGTTCAGTTTCGGCATCAATAACGAGTTGAAATATTATCAGTTGGGGAACTCTAACACTTTCTCGCCATAAAAAACGAGCAAAAGGCCTTTTACTCGTTTTCTGCCTTAAAAAAACGAGCAAAAGGACTTTTGCTCGTTTTGTGCATTATAAAAAGCGAGCAAAAGGCTTAATAATCGTTTTCTGCTTTATAAAAAGCGAGCAAAAGGCTTAATGCTCGATTTCTGCCTTGTAGAAAGCTAGCGTTAGGTTTAATGCTCGGTTTTTGCCGTATAAAAACTAAAAAGTGAGCATTACATTACAAAAGGCCTTTTGCTCGCTTTTTATAAGGCAGAAAACGAGCAAAACGCCTTTTGCTCGTTTTACAGGGCGAGAAAGTATTTGAGAACCCCAACTGATCATTGTTTTTATTTGTATAATTTTGCTTCCTCCTCCCTGCAAATATCTAGTGGGG